ATCGACGCGCCAAACTCAAGCGCGACATGGAGGAGCTCAAGAAGGATGTGCAGATCACGAAACAATTGTCAGCGAACAAAAGCTTTTTAGAGAATGTTAATGACTTGAGTATTTTAAAGACCCGACCAGTCAGCAGATCCCCTGCGACCCCACCATCATCACCAGCAGCAGCAGCAGCAGCAGCACCACCACCACCACCCACAACAGCACCGCCTCGTGCCGAGCGCCCAGACGTCGGGCAGCATCGGCTCGGAAAAGGATAAGGACAAGAACAAGGAGGACTTGCGAATGCTTAAGCTGATGACACTGATGCGGTACTCGGATGGCAAGTTGCTCTACCAGCAGCCACCCCCACCAGCACCAGCGGCAGCAGCAGCATCAGCACCCCCGCAGATAATGCTGCCCCACATGCAGCCACCGCCCGCATAGCCGCCCGCAACACCGCTCCGCACCGCTCAGCGATTAGCCTAATTTGTAAATTACTGACTACGAACGCTTTCATTCGCATCTAATTTGCCAAAAAAAAGTGAAAAAACCAGATATGAAAACACAAACATGATTTCGCATGATTTTTCCTAATTGTAGTATTAAATTTCAAGAGAAAATTGCTTGTGATTTTGTCTCTAATATCACGTATGTGGCAGCATGGAACGGATCTACCCTTAACTTATGCGTATATTTAATGCAATTAATTATGTATGATATTAAACAATTTGTATTCGTATGTACTTACGTATCTTGTAATTGTATCTGTCAATAGTAAACGAATATCTGCAGTTAGAAATGGATGGATGGATTGATTTTGAAGCCATTTGATAATTTGACTCTTTACTGTGACACATGTGCACCTGGTGGCATGGATCGACTAATTATCGATTCGATTTTGATACAACATTCCGGCCCTTCGTTGAATTTATATTATATTTGGCAGCCTTCGTTAAGGATTTCGGGACCAGTAATTCCTACGTTTTCTACGCGTTTCTTATTTGAATTATGGATGGTGCAGTGCCGCCATCTGTGAAGAGTAAATATAACGTTTGCGGTGCTGCCACACGGTTTGCGTTTAAGTGCGATGTAGAAATCATGTCGAGTGGTTCTCTGTATGCAGCCATGTAGCTACATTTTACTAGCTAGAAAGTAGCCAAGTTTTAAAAGTAGGATAACTCCTTCTAGCTGTATTGGTGGAGACTTCCCTGACCGTTTTGACACAGGAGAATATTTCCCGTAGGATGAAAATCGCCGTGTAATTTACCTGGCGCCACTGGAATATTTGACGTATTTGTCTGTTGTCGACAGCTTAATTTTTGGTACACCATGTTGCTTTGTTAAGGGAGTTTTGAAAGCCCTCTTCCTTTGCGAATTGAGTTTGAACAGTTAATGAGAACAACTAAATATAAATGAAAATAAATTAATATTTGATTAAAGAAAATATTTATAGAAATAAAAGAAAATTACTTCGTACCCGATACTCGAAGAGTAGGTATATTGTATTTGTGGGGAAAAAAGAATGCATGCAAAGCACAAAAGGAAACGTTCTGACTCCACAAAGTAAATATGTACAAGGGATTACAGAGGATACAAAAAATGTTTATTGCCAAGGACAATTTATACGGTTTATACGGATTTATTAGCATATACATACATATACATAATTCTTATACACTAATATTGCCTCAAACTGGCAATTTAATTTGGACTTGGGTCGTGCCTGTTTCTCTATCTACTTGTTTTTCGTAACGATGCCCGCTGGACCGCATATGTAGAGCTGTTTGTCGTCCCGATCACGGAGTGGTGTGAAGCCCAGATTGTCGGATGGCACACCGAATTGCTTGAGTTTACACTCGTATGTCTCGAGGAGATCGTCGTGGGCCTTGCGGGACTTGGCCACCTCGTAGCGTAGATCAATAATAATTTTGTTCTTCTCGTCCACAATATTGCCCACCCGCTCGTCCAGGCCGGTTAGTTTGTCGGCTAAATTGGGAGCACACGTGGCAATGGTCTCGTGCAGGATGATGCTGCGCTTTTCTTCTTCGCGCAACAGGGCCGCAATCTTGCGCTCCAGGAGGACATTCTTCAGGCCGGTCTTTTGCTGTAGCTCCACAATGACGTCGTTGAAGCGCTCCTTGAGTGTCTCCCGCTGGGCGACGAGCGAATCGTTGCGCAGGATCAGGGTCTCCGCCTCCCAGGTCAGTCCCTTCACCTTCTTCTCCAGCTTAGTGTTGCGGCTCTTGAGGCGGCTCAGCTGCTGCTTGTCCCGATCGTAGAACTCCAGCTTGCGGCGGTACTCGTTTAACTGGATGTTGGCCTGCTCGAGTGGCTCTCGGAGGCGCTTATTCTCCAGTGCCGTGTCCGCGGCGATGCGGTCGCTGCGTTCGGTCTGTTTGCGCAGCTGCTCCAGCTGCTCCTTCATGCTGCCAATGAGGGCCAGATTGTTGAGTGTGATGTCGTTGTAGTAGTTCTTCATGTCGTTGAAGGCGCCGTCGTGATGGTCCTGCAGGTTCCTGATCTGCTGATTCTTGCGCTCCTCCACCTCGAACATCTGGGTGCTGTAGAACAGATCCAGCTTGGACTTTTGCTCCATCATCTTCTCTTCGTGCAACATCTCGTTGTCCTTGCGCTCCCGCTCGAAGGTTAGTCGCTGCTCCCTGAAATTCAAGTGAGAGAGAGAGAGAGTGAGAGTAAGGATTGCTGGATCAAGAAGCGTACCCACAGCAGCTTCTCGTTGAAGTGAGTCTCCATCTGGCGCAGCTGCATCTCGCCAACCTCCATGCGTTCGCGCAGGATGCGACGCAGCTGGCGCTTATCCTTCTGCAGCTCGGTCTCCTGCAGGACGTGGTGCTCTTGGGCCAGCTTGAGCTGTGTCATCGCCTCCGCCCGCACCTCGCCCAGCTTGTTGTGATTCTCGAACTGCAAATGCTTCATCTGCTGCATCACATGCTTCTTGTCGATGTCCGACAGGTCCTGCGTGGCCTCGATATCCTTGTCCTTTTGCTGCAGCTCATAGCGCGTCTCATCTGGTCGAGGATTATGGAATTTATAGCTCTCCGACTGAATAGATCTACGGATAATCGAACTCACCCAGCTGCTGGCGTGTAATCTCCCAGAAGGTGCGAATCTTGTCCCTCTCCAGCTGAAAGTAATTTCGCTCCTCCCGCTCGCGATCCATCTCCGCTTTGAGGCGCACGGCAAATGCCTCCAGCTGGTCGCGTGTCATCGCCGAAGTGTCCACGCCATCGATGAGCACTGTGGTTTACCCAAAGGAACTAATGTTAGTTGCTAAAAGATTATATTCCAAGTGTTGCCTTGGATGTCGATCAACAAAGCGCTAATAATGCGTTGTTTTGTGACTAATCACTTAATTATTTAATTACTCACCCGGCATCTTCTTGCCCTTCTTCCCCTTTTTCCCTTTTGGTGGCTGTTATAAAGAAAAGAAAATACATTGCAAAAAGTTTGAAATCATTGAGTTACTAAATAAGGTAAATATTTAAGCAAGAAACGCTGGAAAAGTAATAATTAACAGAAATAACCAATTACGACGATTTTTGTGCTAGCTGAACTGCTTGCCACGAGCAGGGAGTCTGTTGTTGAACTGCTTGCCACGAGCAGTCAGTCTGCTGCTGAACTGCTTATCCAACGCAGCTGCAGACTGCTTGCTTTCAGCGCAGCTGAGAATCATTTTGAGCCAACCGGTAGCTGAGCTCGACATTGACTTTTGAGCTTTCTTATATTTTGGCCTTATTCTACTACCCATTTGGCTAAATACATATGCCATTGGCGTTTCCTTTGCCGTTGCTGTGCTGCACGATTGGCGTCTCAGCTGCGTTGTATGCCTGCTCTTTCGTGGGGCAGCTATCAATTTACTGCTTGCTTTGCTGCTGTTGCTTCTATTTTCGTTGAACTCTTAAACAGCATTTAGCTGCCTGATGTCATGTTCGCGAAATGCAAAGATTTGCCTAAGTATAAACTCACCATTTTGCTGTTTCTTCTGTTTGTCCTGCTTGAGCCGTGTCTTCCGCTGTGCCGACTGGGCTTATTCTGTTTTGTATTGCTGTCCGCTGAAACTGTTTGCCAATGCTATCCCAAAAACCGGAAACGTATCGATAAAGCGGTTGCCCAGGAGGGTGTGAGTGGCTTGGTGTCCGTGTGGTAGGCTGCCAGGCAACCAGAAAGAACCATGTGCAATAGTTGAGAGCAATTTGCTTATGAATTATTTGTATTCGTCTTGCAAAGCCAATTTTTTTTAATTGTTTTAAATTTTTTACAGTTTTTGCTTGGCTGTCTGTTTTTTTTGTCGAACGTGGTTTATGGCGTGTTTTTTACATGAACTGTACAAATCACAGTGCCGCCATCTGTGAACAGTTAATGGAACGTGTATGGTGATGCCACACTGCTGCGTTCACATGCGCTGTAGAAATCATGTAGATTACATCTACATGTAGAACATTTGTACTAGCCAGAAAGTAACTGAATTTTAAAATTTCACTCAGTTGGGGAGGGAACTAGAAGGTAAATCTCCTCCTGTCAATCGATGAGTCCAGTCCCCCTTTAAGAGTCCCCCCAAGATATTCCAGACAAATCTTTTTGTGTATCATTTATTTAAAAATTAATAGATTAGTTTTATTTGGATTTTGCGAATTGCCTTAGTCTAAATATTGTATGCACGTATGAAGGATACGAGAATCTGTACACATGTATGTACATATAGTACACAAGTCTCTCTACCGATATGATGTGTGTGTAAGGGTGTACATAGTATAGGTCATAGTATACAAAATGAACACCATCGTTGTTTTTGCGCTGGCTGAGGCACTGTCTCCAAAGAGGCGCCTGCAGCTGTAAAATGGCAGAACTTTTCAAAAGTTGTTCTTGGTTTTTCGAAAGAGTTTTGTGGAATTTTGAGTTAGTGGACGACAGCGACGCGCTCTAGGACGCCGATGATCCGATGGAAACGTGGAGTTTCTCTGAAAGATTCACAGGAATTGTCAGTCAGTTAGTGGAAAGTGAAAATGCAGTGCAAGCTCCATGCGATGGCTTCTCTAGAGTTCGTAATCAAAGAGAGTTGGCTAAGGTGTTATTTACGTATAGCATTTATTTACAGCAGCTCTGGGTCGATGAGGCTTAAGATCTTGGAAAGCATTGAAAAGCAAAAAAAAACTGAACTAAAGGTGCGGATGGGAGAGCAGGATGGGAATGGGAGTGCGAATGTGCCGTGTCTTAGTCTTAGTCATGCTATTCGAATACACAAAAAACCTAGTATCCCTAAGGAATAGTGCAGAGTAAGCAAAAACGAGTGAGAGAATATCTACAACCAGTTGAAACGCATGAAATGGCGGGGAATGGTATGATGTTAGTAGACGGAATAGTTATAGCGACGCTTTTTGATATCAGTCCCGTCCCGCAATGGCATGGACATGGACATGCTGGACCCAGGACCAAGCAGGGCTGTGTGCGAGCAGCTGGGCAGAGGGGTGTTAGTATAAATTGAGCTACGGGAATGATCGCAAGCCGAGGCCGAGACAGATCGAGCAGTAATACTAGGCCGGCGCTGACCGAAGTCGTCGCTGGGTGGGCAAAGTGAAGCAGAGTACAAACCAGTTCCATTTTCCACATGTCCATTGCTGTGGATCGTCGCTGATGAGCCATTAACTCCGTTCGGGGTCGCACCCATGAGAGGAGCGCACGATTTGTTGCCTGTTAAAAATATATCATGGATAACCATTGATTTTTGTTGCTGCAATTAGGATTTATGCTCACCATTGCTGGCAATCTCAATGTCGCCATTGGGCAGTGCCGCAACGCGCAGCGGACTGGCAGCTGCTGCAGCATTGTTGTCATCCTTCACGCACCTGATGAGGAACAGCAGCGAGGAGCCCACCAACGGTGGCAGTCCTGCCAATACAAAAGGAACCGTGTACGAGCCCGTGCTGTCGAATATCATGCCAGCCACTGGTGGTCCCACGGTGAGCGGAATGGAGCTCAGTCCCAGCAGAAAGCCAATCGCCTGTGTGGCACCCGAGGGTCCACATATCTCGTAGGCAATGGGACCCAGCAGGGAGATAAAGCAGCCATCGAAGAGGCCCATGACGAGGGTGAAGGAGACGAGAACCACATACGAGTTGGTCAGTGGCAGCAGCAGCGTGACCAAGCCAATGGACACCAGCGAGAGCTGCTGCAGATACATCCGATTCACGCCGGGCATATCCGCAATGATGCCAAATATCAGGCGACCAATGCCCGAAGTGATGCCAATGCACATGACCGGCAGATTGAGATCCTCGCCCGGGAACGTTATCTTCACGAACTGCATCATGTGGACGTAGGGCACAAAGTACCCAAACAGAGCTAGGGGTACGCACAGAGCCCAAATAACGAATCGCTTTCGCTTCCAGATCTCCACATTGACAATGGAGCGCAGGAAGAGATTGATGCGCGATCGTCCGGGTTTCTTTTTGGGCGGATCCGGCGGCGGATGCAGCGGTTTGTACACGAAGGAACACACAATGATGAACGCGGACATGAGACTCATAATCTGTGGAGAGTTTTAAGCTCAAAATTCACCCTCTCAGAAAACTCTGTTCCTAGCCACTCACCCTCAGTGTTGCCTCGAGGCCATAGCCACCCAGCATACTGTCCAGGCAGGGTGGCAGTATCACAGTAAAGACGCTGGAGCCCGCTGTCACAAAGCCGCTCACCTTGCCCAGGTACCGCTTGAAGTAGTGTCCCAGAATGGCAAGAGTGGGTGTGTAGGCCAGGGCCGCACCAAGACCAAACATGATCCCATAGCTGAAGTACAGGGCGCTGATGTTCTCCGTGAAGAACGAGGACAGCAGCAGGCCACCCGCCGAGAGAACTCCGCCCGCGAAGGTGGTCAGCCGCAGGCCGATCTTGTCCGTCAGACAGCCGGCGACTGTTGAGAAGAGGAATGTGGTGCCAATGGCCAGGGAGCCAACGAGTGCTGTAAGAAGGAATTCAAATAATTAGGGGACTTGCTAGCTAATAATTTCCCGGATGTATATAAACCATTTCCATCTGATCTGTTGACCAACTGTCGCTTTGGCTAAGACCCCGATCCCACTTTCATTTGACAAATCGAATCTCACGCAAGTGCGGTTAATTGTGAAACGAGCCAGGCTACGACATGTCTGGCAGTCGGCTACGATTCCAGGCATTTGCTTGCCACTTCCAGATGGATGATTGCTGGTAACTCGATCGGGCCATAGTTGGTGGCAATTGCGGGTTAGATTTAAATTTTGTGCCAGCTCTTTAATAATTTTCCGTTGAACTCGGCGCGCACAAATGGGGAGACATCGACTAGTAAGTAATTGTTGGCTTCGCGTAAACACTTTCGTTTGTTCCACTTTGGCCGCTCAAATTGATATTCGATTGACAGAATCAGGTTAATTCTTTGTTCACTTCATCCGCAGCCGATCTAATGCTGAGATAATCCATCACAACTGACTGAAGCCCCACACTACGCTGATGAGCAATTGTCAACAGCAGCCGAACGAGTGGCGCTGTCCCAAAGTCCACCACGATGGGCAATGCATACAAACTCACTGCACAAAACTTGTGGTACCACATACAAAAGGTATTTGAAGGAGGCACAAAATGTATGTAGATAACTTCATGTTGAAGTTCAAGGAAATTTCGTATCACTAGCTCAATTTCTGAGTTCAATTGTTGGACGCAATGTTTAAAAATTGACTAAAAATCCACTTGCCACATGCGTAGTACTAAGCGTAAAGCTTATCTGTATGTTCGGGTCGACTTGGAATATAAAATAATCATTAAGTTGCGGCGTTAATTGTTTGGCACATCAAATACAAATTCTCTAGATAGTTCAGTATACCCAAAAAATTGCAGTGTCTTAGAGAGCAGATTCTATAATTGAATTTCACCCACTTTAAGAGGATTTCTAAATATTTATTGAGCATTCGATATGGCACCAATACAAGAGAAAACAGCAACGACTCGCTTCCACATGAATATAACAATTCTTACAGTGCGCACTCGTTAGAGGGATTTATTTAAAGACAAATATTTTGCTTGAGTGAAAATATTTTTATAAATAAACACCTCAAAAAATGTATTTCTCTCTCAGCTTTTACTAAGTGAATCCATTTTAATCTCTCAAAAGTGTGCATCAAACCAAGTCCTCACTGTAACTGCGTACAATCTGCCACTCTCCCAGTCAAGCAGCAGCTACTCGTATCTCGACAAAGGCAACTGTCAATGTCAATGCCACACACCGATGGCTAGGCTATGGCGCTGGCTGCCGCTGTTCTGTTGCATGCCACCCTGAGCTCCTCTCTCCTCGCTGCCAACTAGTCAATGGCATTGTGCCTGAGAGCCAGCGAAAGTGGGAGAGAGTGGGCGAAAGAGAGCAAGCTGCGTAGAGAATTATTAGATAATAGCCCAACAAATGCTTTCTTGAACAGCAGCCAAAAAATTCTAAAAAAAAAGCAACCGAGGCGGAAGACAGATTACATGAGATCTGTGGCGGTTGCCGGCGTCTAGCGATTGTCTGAGGGGAGGAATAACCCAAAATACATTTGAGTATTTTTAGGATGTCTCATCTTCTATAGCTAGCAACCCAATCTGACGCAATGTGCAACAGAATTGCAACGGCTCCGGCCATAGATTTATATCTAATTGATCCTGACCTTTGGGAAGAGTTTTCCGATACAGTTTATTGAGCCGCACCCGACATTAAGTGTTTCTGTAGTGTGCCCATAGAAGTGTATAATTGACAAATTGAAACTGAGGCATTGCACGTAGTGGACCGAGACAAAAGTCGCAAAAATATGGCACACACAAAACACCTCCTAGCAGAGCAGCGGAGAGCTGAGCTCAGGTTCGGATTACGTCAAGTTTTAATCATATTGCGGAACTAAAGCCAGTCAGCCGCTGACTCTGCTGTAGCTCCGGCCCTATGCCGGAGGATCGCTGTCAAGCAGTGGCACTTGCTGGGCTTCGATGGGTAGTGGCAGCGGCAGCGGCAGCACTGGCAGCACTGGCAGCGCCAGTCGACCAAGTAACTGGGTCAGTGGCGGGTGCACTCTGTTTTGCCACTCTTGGCTGCATGCCGTTTGGCGTCTTTGTTTGCGGCTTTTGTCTTCTTCCCAGAACCGGGCAGCGGGCAGCGGGCAGCGGGCATCTGGCGCTACGCCTCTTCAAAAGCGGCGCTCGGCAACGTCCGTGCCCCCAATGCGCTCCACGCTGCGTGTGCGTAATGCAGGCCGCCCGCTAAACCTTGACAAACACTCATAACCGATTTGAACTCTGCTCGACATTCCGCCAATCCAAACATGCGCACTGACGCTTTAGGCCCTAGGCCTGATGGTCACGCAAAATTATTCCCTTTAGTTCGCGGCAACTCAACTCTAGCCGACTCCAACACACTTGACGTCGCCCTGGGCCTGGGCCGGGGCTGCGCCGGGTGTGTTGAATAATGCTTTGTGATCCAATCAACTTTTAGCAATTTAATTCACTTGATGTCGCCACGTTGGATTCCTATATCGTCATTCCTACTACGTACTACAATGTTTTATTGAACCCAGCAAAAACAGCAACAAAGGCAACAGAAGCAACAATAACAACAACAGCAGCTGCTGCCACGATGTGCGTTTGAAGAGCAATCGAAATGTCCGTTAAATTTGGAAGTGATAAATGTAATAATAGCTGCCAGAAATCTGCAAGCCTGCAAGAACATTGGAAGACACTTATTTTCCCCGTTTAAATATTTAAGGCAATCAATTTCCCATCTAGAATAGCAACAAATATAATCCTATACAGTCCATAGCTTCATTTCCCCATCTAACACAAGTTCTGTGGCCAGAGCTGCTGCTCCAAAAATGACCATTAAAAGATTATTCACAAAATTAATCAAATCTTTGCCTTGTGACGAAGCAAAATATACGTAAATCAATTTTTGTTGGTTTCTCGAATAATACGAATCAAAAGCTAAGACCCCCTCAGGGTGCTATCAAAGCCATAGAAATTATATTGCACATTATATATGTACTTATGTGTGTATAATGTTCATACAATATGTGCGGCAGATAGTGGCTTGAAAAACAACTGTCCAGTTCCCATCTAATCTCATTTGCGACTCCTCCTCTCCTTCTGCATAATTACAATCAACGCCAGAAATTTGTCACAAATTCAGAATTAATTTGCCGCTGGCCCGTCTGTCCGTTGAGTGAAGGGATTACGCTCGCAAATTGCTAGGTCCAACCCCCGTATTGAGACTGAGACTCACCCGCTTTACTGGAGGCCTCCGGGTCGCCCAATGCTGTCAGTCGATCGCTTAAGAGCGAGTGCAGCACTCCGTAGGTGTTGATGAAACCGAAGATGATGCCGTTGCACAGGAAGGCGCTGACCATGACGAGCCAGGCCCGGGCACCGCCATCCGGTGGCTCCTTGCCATGTATGTCTCGACAGCAGGGCGCCTCGATGTGTGTGCCATTGGAGGTGCCGTTCCCATTCGCCTGGCTCTTGCCATTGGCGTGGTGCACCTGGCCATTGCTAACCGCCGGCGATATGTGTCCATTGCTGGGCAGGATGCGACCATTCAACTGCTTCTGTGTCTCGTTCAGCGGCTCGTTCTCTGCCATGGCTGCTGGTGGTCTCTTCCTGCTTTCGGAGAGTACTGACTGCAAATATGTTCAAGTGTGGGGATAAGTGTATGTTGGGTGCATCTTAATCAGTCATTGCATTGCACTCAAATATGCTGTTGACAGACATATGCCGAAATGCTATCGCTCCCAGTGCCGCCCCCATTTACATGAAAATTATCACAGACTGAGGAAATTGGCTAGCCAAATATTTGGACACCATTATCTGTGTTTGCCACTCCCGCACATGGAATTACAACAGGTCCAGAAACCAACTACTGCATGGAAATGAGACAGACAAAGAAAGTGGGGAGAATGAGCTAAACAGAGCTAGAGAAAGGAAATGGAAAGCTATCAAAGAACACTGAGAAAGGGGAAGCTCAAATTATTTTTGAATGAAAAAGAACCAAGTCTGACTTCAGATAGTTTTCTTACATATCAGAATCTTCAAATTAATTTTATTTCTAATTTTATTTATCGAGTGCATATAATCTTCATTTGACAATGTCTTTTGCACGCTCCCGCCTTATATCTGGACGTCATGAATACAATTTTAGATTGCATTACATGCGATAACAGAATTACTGAATTTGTCGCATTCCAAAAGATATAAATATACACATGTACATACATAGATGTATATAGTATGTAAAAATGCATATATGCATGCCCTTGCGTAGTGCACGGCGAGCACAAGTACAAGTTTACGGTTCGCTTTACATTCGAACGTCTCCCACGTTGGGGCCAAAAAAAAGAAGAATATTCCGCCAAAAAGCGAAAATTCAATGTAACGTGAACTGCTCGACAGAATAAAGAGAAAACCACATTTGTGTGCTCGTCGACTATCAAAGAAATTCGTGTACTATCGTGCACGTGTGTCTGCCTGAATAAGTGACGCACCGGCGGCAGGCCGGCTAAAGGGGGGAGGTCACAACCGAAAACGAAGGTCACGTCACTTTTGCCATTATGCAACTGGCAGGCAAGGCGAGCGACAGGACGAGAAAGCGCTGCGAAGGCGTCACTACGTACATGTAAGCTCGGATTTGCTGCTACCGTAAGATCCGATTGAAGATTCCGGCAAAGACACTAAGGGAATCGCGCACTCAAACCGCCTGCCACTGGCCGAAGTGGTGTCGTGTCGAGACAGAGACAAAGACAGCGACGGAGACGGAGGCGAGACCAATCGAGCGAACACACAACCGACCGCTTGCGTTGTCGCCAGCGGAATGAAGAAAAAATTGAATTATTTTCCACGAGCTAGTTGCAAATAAACGTGCCGACACTTCGCCGTTCTCTGGGGTAAACAAAATTTCACCTAGGCAACGCAGCGACGAAGATGGACACAAAAACAAACGAGGCGCTAAAAGCAGTCAGCAGTTGTCCAGTTTCGAGCTCACAACAGTTCTGGGTGTCAATTGTATAGTTTTGGGCTGGCTCAGAAGCCATCTCCACTGGCAGACAAAAAACAAATCACATGATCGACCGGGACCGGTGTCTATTCAATTTCGGACGCAATGAAATCGAAAACGGCCTCTAATTGATCAATTCCGGGAATTAGAAACTGAAGCATCTTGGGTGGACTACAGAGGCCACTGCGCAGTGCCATCAATTGGGTAGGTGACGTTGACTTCGACAACTCTAAAGTGAGCATATCCGTTGCCGTCAAAGAGAAAACCCGGCGTCCGATGCCACTTCACAGGCGCTCAACAAGTTGACCCCAACTGACTCATCCGGCGAATTGTTCTGTTCTGCTGCCTCCTGGCGCCGGCGCCGACGCTGCCGCCCGTCCGACAGTGGCTTTGGTTGCGAGTTTATGAATATATTTTGACTGGACACCCGGCTGGGAGCAAAGGCCGCTTGTTTAAGACACAAAATGTACAAATATGAAACTTAAGTGTTAGTGGAAGAAGGTTAAGATTCTTTTCAATTAATTTATGATAATAATACTAACTACTCATAGCTCGACGGTTTCACATGCTCGGTGGCACGGCATCAAGGGACATGGCGGTGACTGAAGCTGTGGCTGTGGTGATGGGCAGCGTGGCCTCTGGCTGGTCCAGTATCAGCCTCAGATTTTTGTCGGGCCAGTCAAACTGCAGGCGTTGGGTCAGTTCGGTGTTCTCGTCCAGATTTGCATTGCGGAAGTCCTCCATCATGCGCGGCACGAGATCATTTGGTATAAGCACCTGAATCCAGTAGCCCAAGACGCCGTATGGCTCTTGGACGTTGACAGCGGATCCGGTCACCGTCTCCGCCACCAGAGTCAGGGCCAGATGCTGCGCCTTGAAGGTGAAGTGCCGGCCGTGTCGTATGCGGTCCTTGATGGCCAGCAGCAAGTACTTGGCCACAGTTGGGGCCAAGGTTATTTCGATGCCATCTAGTGAAATGCAGTCCGGTGCCTGCGGCTGAAAATCAAGCGGACAGGACTTGTGCAGGGAATTGCTGCTGAGGGACATCGATTGGGGAAAGCTCGGTTCCTCCCGCTTCATTTGCGACTCCGTCAACGGCCGATTGTTCTCCTCGGTGGCACACCGTTCGCTCAGGGATTGGAAATCAACCTCCTGCTTGATGGCGACCGTCGGCTTCATTTCCTTAAAAGTGAAATCTGCATTAACGCCCGCCAAGTCGGAGCCCTGCTTCTCGAGGTCGTCCTGCAGATTGATCAGCGTATCGGGAAACAGCTCGAACACACTCATCGTTCGCTCCATGTTGGTGACCAGCCACTCGCCTCCAGTCTGGATATCCTCGCGCAGAAAGTTCAAGACTCCGCGTCCGTTCCAGCGCGAAGCTTGCTCCAGCTCATGCTCAAAGACGCCAACAATCTGGCAAAAGTCAACGGTACCAAACGGTGTCTCGATGCAGCCCAGCTGAGGATCCTGTGCAACCAGCAGACTCTGCAGCATGGAGTTTTCGCTGCCATCCAGGCTCTTGCGCCAGGGAATATTGTCGCCGAAGCACAAGCCGTTGCCAGTCTGGAAACAGTAGCGGCCAATGGCCTGCAGCAGATTGGCTGGCCATGTGGGTGGCCGAAGGGGCTTCTCCGGGCAATCGTGTTCCTGCTGCAACTCAGCCTCGGTCTTTGCCAGCCGGAACGTCAGCTCGAATCCCATGCCAGACCGATGCGACTCCTCCTCCCGCAGATGGACACGCTCGTCGCCGTGCAGGTCGCTGAGGCCAAAGCTGATGTAGTGCCAGTGCGGAGGGACATTCTTCTCGGCATCTCCTTTGTTGTTGTACATACTAATGTAGTCCAGCGGATCCTGGCCTCCCAGCCAGTACTTCAGCAGCGTCGTCACCTGCAGCGGGTTCGGCTGGTCGGGATACACCTGGAAAAGGTGATCTATGATGGCCTTCAGGCCAGGAGGCGGCTTAACATCGGGTTTTTTATCCAAATTTGACGCAGACATTTCATTAAAAATATGAAAACAACAATAGTACCAGAGATGGGAGAAAAGTATCGTTACAGCGAATGGGTCACTGGGAGTGTCAAATATCTAACAGTCACAGCGAATTAAAATGGATCTATATTAGTTTTGGTTGTTTACATGGCATATAATTGATTTTATTAGCTTTAAATTAATTAATGACTTATTCTCATAAAATCTCGAATTTGTGAGCACTTAATCATCTCGTTGACAATATATTCTAGTGATATGAAACCGTGACAAATACTCTTAAAAATATCTGCTAGGTACGTTTGTTCGATAACGATAGCCCACCTATCGTTCGACCACAAATATCTGCAACTAACTATTTATTAGAAAATTTGCAAATTTGTATAAACGCACAAAATGGAGCCTTATGATGTCGTAGTAAACCAGCCCGTCGTCATAGATAACGTAAGTAGAAAGTAGCACATAGATCGTAGAACCTACTGTGCCGTACTTCAAGTTTCCCTTCAAGATTTAGAAACGAACAGTGACATCACCTACTGCCCGTCCCTTTGTCAGTAAGCTTTTTCAAGCCGTATTCAGGTGGTGGCAACCATGACTAATGCAGGAACATGCATATTTGTGCAAACACTTAATTTGGCTATATTTAAACAGTTACAATTTTGATTACATCTTCGACATAATCCTTTGACTCCACCAATTGCCTGCGTCTTTTCACACTGCAGTTTGTGTGTATGTGTCGGCTGCTTCATCGCACGAAGGACGTGGCGTTGTATTTGCTGTTGCGTCCCACCATTTGGTAACCCTTGCCCAAAGACATTTTTGTGCCATATTCAATGGGATACAACAGTGGCTTACTCTCCTGATGCCAGGAGATTGGCGTGTCCAACAAATCAGTCTTGACAGCGCGTCGTCCCGCGCATGTGAAGCCCTTTGGTCGCAGCAATTTTTCATAGGGATCGCGGTACTGGTCCCTGTACTTCTGGCACTCCAAGTAGAACGTGTCCACCCTATATAGATCCTGATAGTTAACAAACGACAACTTGGGTGTTTTGATAACGAGTCCTAACAGAGATTCGCGTGTTTTCTGGCAACTTTGCGACACATTCCACATGTCCACTTCGGGCACTCGCAAAGACATGGCGATTTCGAAAATAAATAAAGAAAAAAACTTAAAATTTGTAGATGACTGTAAACGTTTGATCTCAGAACTGACTAAATTTAATAAACATATTTATGTTTTCAGGGCTCCGGTGTCATCAAAGCCGGCTTTGCTGGTGAGCACATTCCAAAATGCAGGTTTCCCAATTAGTAAGTACAAAGAGTCTGAACGATAAATAGCGAAAACCTTATTGATTGTCTGTGTCTTCTGTAGCATTGGCAGGCCCAAGCATATTCGGGTAATGGCTGGTGCCCTGGAGGGCGACATATTTGTTGGTCCCAAGGCGGAGGAGCACCGAGGTCTGCTGAGCATACGGTATCCCATGGAGCACGGCATTGTGACGGACTGGAACGATATGGAGCGAATATGGAGTTACATTTATAGCAAAGTAAGCACCCATTAGAGTCTGTCGCTTTGCACCCAAAGCTAATCCATTCACGTTTAGGAACAACTAGCCACCTTCACGGAAGACCATCCGGTACTGCTCACAGAGGCTCCACTGAATCCACGCCGCAATCGGGAAAAGACTGCCGAGTTCTTCTTTGAGAGCATCAATGCACCTGCGCTGTTCGTGTCAATGCAGGCGGTCCTCAGTCTGTATGCCACTGGAAGGGTTACAGGAGTGGTGCTGGACTCTGGTGACGGTGTGACGCATGCGGTTCCTATATATGAGGGATTTGCCATGCCTCACAGTATTATGCGTGTGGACATTGCCGGTCGCGATGTGACGCGGTACCTGAAGACACTCATCCGCCGGGAGGGCTTCAACTTCCGATCGACCGCCGAGTTTGAGATTGTGCGATCGATCAAGGAGAAGGTTTGCTACTTGGCCACCAATCCGCAGAAGGAGGAAACTGTCGAGACGGAAAAGTTTGCCTACAAACTGCCCGACGGCAAGACCTTTGAGATCGGACCGGCACGCTTCCGCGCGCCAGAGGTGCTCTTCCGTCCGGACCTGCTGGGCGAAGAGTGCGAGGGCATACACGACGTTCTGATGTACTCCATTGAAAAGTCGGATATGGATCTCAGGAAAATGCTCTACCAGAACATTGTGCTCTCGGGTGGTTCAACTCTGTTCAAGGGTTTCGGCGATCGTCTTCTGTCCGAACTGAGAAAGCATTCAGCCAAGGATCTGAAGATCAGGGTAACTAAGCAACATTTACACCCAAATTTACCGGTATTGACTCTTTCCTTTCTTTAGATTGCCGCCCCGCAGGAGCGACTGTACTCCACATGGATGGGCGGCTCGATTCTGGCATCGCTGGATACCTTCAAGAAAATGTGGATATCGAAGCGGGAATACGAGGAAGAGGGCCATCGGGCCGTGCATAGAAAGACTTTTTAGTGTGTTTATTAACTTAAACGCTGTGTGTGAAAGGCTTATTAAAATCTATATCAAACCCATGCGCCAGCTAACATCAAGTAAACGTTACTCGTACCCCCGTACTCCCCCCGGAGATTCGAAGCAAACCATTTTTGTGTGTGTATGTATGTCTTACGCATAACAGGGCGCAAAGTATTTAAAATGCTATTTATTGAAACTGCTTCTCAGCCTAGAAAATAAAGTACTAAAATTTATAAAAAGAAAAGCAAGAAAACCATTACCGATTGGATCGACAGATGTCTGGATAACGACTCACTATAAAATAAATCAATAAAAAAAACATTTTCCCGCGCTGAGCTCCTGCAATTAGTCTCCAGGCCACGTCGAGGCGGAAACGCTCTCTCCACCGCTCACAGTGGCTTCGCTCTTAGCTGGGAATCATTTCAGTTGGCTTTCAGTTGTTTAATCGTTTGGTTGTGTCGCCAGCCGTCGCCACGACAACGACGCTTCAGGTTTCCACAATTGTTTTTGCCAATTAGAGAAGACAATGAAACCCGCCCGAACAGCTTGAATTTGATATTTTTTGAGCTTTTTTGTGGATTTGTATTTGGTTGCAAGCGACTCGAAAGTGCAACGTTGTGTGACCGAAGAGCATCCAAAAGCAAATTGAAAGCGAAATCAAGTACAAAACAGAATGGCTCAGATTGTGGCTGGGGATGAGCGGGTTAACGAGGTAAGTCTACAAATATTTTACACACTTACGCATAGAACATGCACTGGCCTTGATCTTCCACATATTCCTGTTCATAAATAATGTATTCATTTGTGTGAGCCACCGCCACACTAACACCACTTCTCTTTTTCCTACCCAGTAATTGTCATTCCATTCTGCTGTTGCTGTAGTTGTTGTCTTTGTTCCGACTGTTTCCATTCGTGCTGCAATTAAGTATTATATGTGCGCGACTCGTTGGCCTCATGCACCTTAAACTCTAAACTGTCTGACTGACAAACTGTGCGAAAAATGTTTCCAACTTCCGTCTGCTGTTTGTTTTCATATTGATTTTCTAATTTAAACACCAATGATAGATGTTATCCTTATTTGTAGTATAGTGTACACATTTTTCCATTGCAGAAACCCATTCTAAATGCCTGGCAGGTAAACTAACTTTGTGTGTATTTTGAGTTCCAAGAAAAGTCATCCTTGCTCCCAATGTTGTACCCCTTTTGGTTAATTAGTTTGAGTATTTGATGTTGTCTGTTATCAGCGCACAAGACTCGCCAGAAATGGCACAGATAACGTCTAACTATTGCATCGATCTGCCAGAATCAGTCGACACTCAGCACTTGGTCCGACAAAATGGTATCGTTCTTCGACAATGTATCTATCCTCCATGTTCCCACATTTAGTAATTTATCATCATAGATCTACTTATAGTAAATTTTCCACTATTGCAGATGAAAGCCATGGATGCCAATCGGTATGCGACAAAGAAGACGATCGCCCAGGGCATGCTGGATATAGCTCTGCTCACGGCCAATGCCTCCCAGTTGAAGTACATCCTGCAGGTGGGGGAGCAGCATCAGTTTTACAAGCTGATGCTCATCCTCATCAGTCTGTCGATCGTGATGCAGGTGAGTTGTGCTTGTCCTGTTTGGCATGGGGTAGTAACGGCCTCGTTCTTCACATGTCCTCAGATACTGTCGGGTGTGCTGAGCCTGTCGCTGAGTTTGTTGCGCGACTGCCGACTCCACCAGCCAGAGTTTCACCAATCGGCCAATGTAATCAATCACGTTCGCACTGCCTTTGCGTTTTTCACAACGATGCTAAATCTCTTTATCTCGGCATTTGATAGTCGTCTGCCCCCGCCACAAGGCGACCTTCTGAATAATGTGAATTAGAGGGGGCCGCGTACATATCCGTGGATTCATTTGCTTGATTTTAACAGTCTCAATATCCATTTTGACAGCTATTGGTTGGAATTCTGTTTGTGGCCATCGGCAGTCTCAACATTAACCGGCAGAAAGATCAGACGGCGGCGATCATCCTGAACGATATTATCCTCGTGGTGATATTCGTGATATCCGTTCTGAACGTCATTATTTCGGGCTTCGGCATTGAGTACTCGTCACAGCCGCTCAGACTCCTTGAACAGCATGCAAAGACACCCTAGAACTAAGAAATATCCAACGATTTACATTATCATAATAGTATGTAAGGCTAACCATGTACCCTTTAAGATATAAAATAAATAAATGTATTGACAGACATAAACCTCTATATGCAGGTGGCGGCTGGAGTTTTGCTGATCATTCAATCCCTCATCAGCATCCACAACCCGAAGGATCGTTCCATTGGGTTCACCATAAACTATTTCGTAGATGCCTTCATATTCCTTTCCGTGTTCTGCGACGTTATGAAGATGAATTTCGGCCTAGACCCGGCGATTCCACTTCTGCAAAATGTTGAGATGTTAAAACCATAATACTTCAAATCTGCGTAGGCTTAGACATCAAATGTACATACTTGGCACATTATAACAACTAATATTTTGTATCCTTCAATTTGCAATCCCGTATACTGTACATATCAAGACTTATCGGCATTTTGGGCCTTATTCGTGTAATATTAAGTGATTTATTTAATCATTTTCGATGTCGCGCTTAGAATCTGGAGATGGGTGAGCATATTTCAAAAAATTGTTTCATCACTAGCTTACATGTAGGTCAGGGATGACACCATACAAATTTAAATAATAATTATTGTAGCAATTTCGATTCAATTCTCCAATAGAAATGTTGGTCAATGCTGAGAGTCCTAGCAAGCTTATCTAGATAATCGAACATCAATATCTTATAAATACGCTGCTTGAAAACGGGAATTTTAAAATAATTAAGGGAAATAGGGTATACAAATGCCGACATCATTGATTCAAAAGCAACAAGCGGCAAAATACGGCCACATTGAATTGTCACTTGTTTCGTTTATGGTTTTTTGCTGCTGACCGTTTTAGCATTAACCTGATTTTGTAAAAATCCAGTAAGAAAAAGTCGGAACAGCTAGTCAATCTTGAGGAGAATTTATTTCTCAAACGGTCAAAATTATAATTTTAAGGTTAAATATCCAAACTAGCTAATACTATTTAATAGAATATCAATATCCAGGAAATTATTTAGGATGCGGTATATTTAGAAAAGGAGAGGTATCTTTCGGTATATTTCTGGAGGTCAGGCGGTATATTTGACTGATAATTCCGCTGTCACACTTCGCACTTTTCTTAAACATTGAGTCCAAAAATAATACGTATGCGCCGTGAATCATAGCCGATAGAAGCAACCAGGCCAGCCAGCCCCTCGTCCAGCGTAAAGCGTACAGCGTACAGAAATATAGTGTACATACAAATATATAAAAAGTTATTCGCGTAAATATTACACGTACGCTCGTCGTGGCCAACCCCTGGATATCCCATCTGTGCGCGAGACGAGACGAGACCCGCATATTATTTTAGTTTAGTTACTAATTGTTATTTCTGTGTAAAAAAAATGTTCAGTTTTCTGAAGCGCGAGCAAAAGAACCAGGAGGTGGTGGAGAATGTGATTGGTGAGCTGAAAAAGATCTACCGGAGCAAGCTGCTGCCCCTGGAGGAGCACTATCAGTTCCATGACTTTCACTCTCCCAAGCTGGAGGATCCGGACTTCGATGCCAAGCCCATGATACTGCTGGTGGGGCAGTACTCGACGGGCAAGACGACCTTCATTCGATACCTGCTGGAGCGGGACTTTCCTGGCATTCGGATTGGTCCAGAACCCACCACAGACCGCTTCATTGCTGTGATGTACGATGACAAGGAGGGCGTCATACCCGGCAATGCACTGGTGGTGGATCCCAAGAAACAGTTCCGTCCACTGTCCAAATACGGCAATGCGTTCCTAAATCGTTTCCAGTGCTCTAGCGTGGCGTCGCCGGTGCTGAATGCCATCTCCATTGTGGACACGCCCGGCATTTTGTCCGGCGAGAAGCAGCGCATCGATCGTGGCTACGACTTCACGGGGGTGCTGGAGTGGTTCGCGGAGCGCGTCGACCGCATCATCCTGCTCTTCGATGCCCACAAGCTGGACATCTCCGACGAGTTCCGGCGCTCGATCGAGGCCCTCAAGGGCCATGACGACAAGATTCGCATCATTCTCAACAAGGCGGACATGATCGATCACCAGCAGCTGATGCGCGTGTATGGAGCTCTCATGTGGTCCCTGGGTAAGGTGCTGCAGACGCCGGAGGTGGCCCGCGTCTACATTGGCTCCTTCTGGGACCAGCCCCTGCGCTTCGACTCCAACCGACGGCTGTTCGAGGACGAGGAACAGGATCTCTTCCGCGACCTGCAATCACTGCCCCGCAATGCTGCCCTGCGCAAGCTGAACGATCTGATCAAGAGAGCGCGCCTGGCCAAGGTGCACGCCTTCATCATCGCCGAACTGCGCAAGGACATGCCCTCGGTGTTTGGCAAGGACAGCAAGAAGAAGGACCTGATCAAGAACCTGGGACAGGTCTACGATCGCATTCAGCGCGAGCACTCGATATCGCCCGGTGACTTCCCGGATATCAAGAAGATGCAGGATGTCCTGCAGCACCAGGACTTTACCAAGTTCCATTCACTGAAGCCTCATCTGCTGGACATAGTCGACAACATGCTGGCCAAGGACATAGCGCGACTCATGGAAATGATACCACAGGAGGAGATGACGCTCGTCAACGAGCCCATCGTTAAGGGTAAGTGTTCCACCCAAATCCCAAAGTCCCGATAATTTGCTGTTCGAGCAAAGTGCACATTGAGCTCATTTAGCCTCCACTTTTATCACATTCGTCACGCTGTAATTATCGCACTCTCTGCTGCTGCTGGTGGGTTCCCGGTTATTTGTGTGGATATATTCGCATGTTTCATAGAAAATATGTAAATGTCGTGAGATTTTCCAAGAGAATTTCACTGGTGTTTCTTTTCCTTTTCCCATAAGCAACAGATTGCGCGTGCGCGAATGTTTCAGACAGCAAAGAAATACTCCAAGCTAACCCAGTTAGCAAATATCAAGCCAAATTGCAACGGAAAACAAGTTTTGTTGGTAGAGATACAAAGATACTTTAGAGCGAGAGAAACACTGTGAGTTAGAGCTAGAGTTGAGGAAAGCCTTGCCTAAAAATGGGCATTTGAAAACTCACTTTCATGGTTCATCTTGCGGATGAGTTTTCCCTGGCCCACATCCACATCTTCCGCAGCTTCCTATTTCTATTTTGCGCTGTTATGCAATGCCTCGCATACGTATCTCTATCTATATATATACTTTTTTTATATTCATATACGAATAAATGACTGTGTGTCGACTATATAAACAAAGCGATAAGCGCTGCTGGTGCCCCACAAAAACTGATAAGCGGCATAGACTTCTAGCTCTGCCCTCGCGTTTTAGTCTGACATTCACGCACTTTTTTTGTGCTGTGCAAAATTAAATAGAACGAAGAGCGACCTGTCCCCACCCAGTTCGGGTGGTAGCTAAAAGTGCACAGAGACACGTACTCTTACCCACATCATATCTTGCTTAAATATTGTAAAATGATAAGCAATTATTTGATGACTTGAAACTAGGCGAATACTGCCAGACATACAGATGGGGCGTGGCAGTCGTAGTATGCGTCCAATAATTATCAAAACAGTCAGTGCTTTCGTCATTTCCTTCCCCCTGGTACCTTTTTTTATTGATAACAGAGTCAAACTACACCTACTGACTGGCTGCCACATGATGTAAGCATTGGAAAATATCGATGGATAGTGCTCTCTCTCTGTGTGTTAGCGCAAGGCTGTTGGTTGGTTGTTTGTTGGTTCTAATTGGACTCCGGGCTCTGGCATGACTCATACGAAAACTAGGCGTACAGTTTTGAGCATTATAAATATTTTACAATTTTACACTCGGTTGAATGAGATCTGATGGTAGCAGCAACAACAGCCAGACGCATCCAGGCAACCATGACGCCTATGACCACGCATTCCCCCATTCCCATTCCCACTAAAACTCGAACTAAAACGCCCAACAAAAGCACAAACAATTAAGTGAAAGAAAGAGAGCAAAGAGAGTGGGGGAAAAATATAGTTTTAATCAAAAGCTAGACGCCTTGGCCTGCGCGTACTTAATTCTATTATAATCGTACACACATGAGCAATCTAATATTTTATTGAAAGGTAATTCCGTTTGAAGTAAGCGAGCGACCGGTTTACATTCGACCTGTGAACTTTAGTGTGTGAGTGTGTAAGCGTGTGTGTTCAGGCGTAGAGTTCAAGGCCTAATTACACTTTCCAGAAAGCACCTGTTTGTGTTCACCCCATAAATGCGTTAGTGGGGCCAGTAGGCCAGTCGGAAAAGTGGTTTGTTTTTCAAACCTTATCGCGTTGCCAGGCACTGTTATAGATACATACAAATGTACATATACTATATGAATGTTTAAACAGTCTTCTGTTAGATAAAAATCAATGTTAGGCCAAGTCAGCATGCCATCATCGGTTTCTCTCTCGCTTATCAGTTGCCGGCAACTGGTTCTAGCAACCTTAAAAAAACCTGAAAAAAAAACACTTTGCAGTCGACGACTGCTCTAATTTTCGTTTATCTGTTAAGTAAATACGAGTATGCCATCCAATTAAGTAATATTTATGATACAGTGGCCACTCGCAGGTCAAGAACACTTGCGTAATATTCTGAGAATCTTGGAGCAGAGTGCAAAAATTGTTAGGCTGTCTCAATGTCTTCCTTTTGTTAGGTTTGGTTACTTTTATAGGCAACAGAAGGCTCCTAATTAATAGCTGAAAACGGGCAAAAAGCCATTAAAGTGGGAAATAAGTTATATATAGTCATCTAGTAACGTGAAATATTGCCTGCCTTTTAGAAGTATAAAAAATGAATGTCTGCTGCATAAGTCCCCTGCGTCAAGCTGCTCAAACAAAACCCCCAATCCCCGATCGAGGCATCCGATCCCCACACCCAAAGACCCGCTCCCAGTTTCAGCTCCCGGTAAGCCGAACCGGTTAGTGCCAGATATGTATGTACATTCTGGAATGTATGTATGTACTTATGTATGTAAAAATGTACTCTTGATGGCGTTGGCAACCTGAGGCCGCGTATCAATTGGCCACTCACCGAAGCTGACTTGGGGCGTGTGGCATTAAGTGGATCATCCTCTGTACTGTCTAATCCACATAGAGGGAAAATATAGAAAGAAACCGAGACGGGGGCGCTTGCATAGCAAACGAACTACAACTAAGTGCAGGAAGAAAGCATTTACCCGTGAGTTATTCCACAATAATCTGGCTATTGTCTGTGGCGAAACCGATCTACAAGTGTGTCTGCTGGGGCTGCTGCTGATCTTTTCAGTTTGACTGCGTCTGAGGCCACTTGAGTGACGATTTAATTCAACTATTAGCGCATTTCTCATGACCTTGGTACTAGGGAATGTATGCAAAATACCAAAAGAAAGTCCAAAAATGATCAACTGATGTCATGGGATCATTATTTCTGATTTCTGGCTGCGAATTTGAATGTGTCATGGCCCTCTCACTCCATCGAAATTAGTTAATGTTGCTCCCCACACACACACACACTCGCAAGCACACACTCACATGGCACTCGAGTGTGAATGAACTCCTTGTTTATTATTACACCCAGAGCAAAAGGGAACAAGAATGCGTTGATAAAGCGAATCACGATCAAGCAGCAGCCCGAAATCAAAGTCAAGAACGCGTGAACTCTAATTTATTTCTAAATAAATGTCTCGTATCTGTGTGTACTCATTGTCTCTCTTCTCACCCTCTCTCTTTCTCTTGTTCGATTTTCTGTGCATTTCCGTTACTTTGTTTTTGGGATAATTGACGCGGGCACAAGTATTTCAATCACACAGCAAACAAGAAAGAGCAAAGAGAAGAGAGTGAGTGTGATAAAAGACAGTGTTTGCCGATAGTTCATGTACCGCACACAAAACTGATTCAAGTACTAATGTGGATCAGGGGTTCGCCTTTCATTTGAGTCATCCAACCAAACCCAATCCAACCACCTGCTTACACCTCTGCATATGAGTGGGTTGGGGGGAGGCATCACATGTTTAGCAATATGTCGCTAAATAGTGTATACACACACACACACACACACAGCAACACGATATTTTGCAGAAATAAGCTGTTCGCTTTGGCTTTCGTTCCTTTATCTTCGTTTTTGCCATTGGCACACTAATTTTTGTGAGTTTTTGAGTTGATTTTTTTGCCATGTCCAAGTCCGATAATGTCTGTGTATACGCCCTGCTTTGTCACCCACTGTATGCCGCACCCGGGCTGATCATTGCGGAGATCTTCCACTCTGAAAAAACCCTTTGAAAATGTGTTCCCTGCTCTGTCAACGTTCTTTCTCTCTTTCTTGCATACCAAAGTGGACTCAGACGAGGATTTCGATCTGGCTGACGAGCCCGATAATGTCCTGAGCCCCAGCTCACAGAGAGCACTATTTGCGGATCGATTTGATCGCTGGCTGCAGAACCTGCGCCAGCAACAGCAGCGGTTATTCAGCAGTTGTACTAGTAGGGTGGGCCATATCGAGAACGATAAAGAGATCGAGCCAGCAGCCGAACCAGAGCCAGAGGCAGAGACAGAGACAGAGCCAGTGCCCGAGAAGGAGCCAATTGCAGACCCTGAGACAGGTTCAGAGCAGGAGGTAAAAGCAAAGCCAGAGCCAGAGTCAGGGCCTGATGCAGATCCAGAGACAAAGTCTGAGGCTGAGGCAGAGGCAGGAACAGACATGGATGTAAGCACACACACACACACACACACACCTAGTTATATGTAGGCAGAGTGGCCTTCTCAATTCTCTAGTGTCTGACAACAAGACACCGCAAATAAATTGAGCAAAAGATCAAAAGTGGCAACTTCAAATAATGCAATGAAATGCACCGCATGCAATCTCAATTGGTCAGCTGAATGTAGCAGCATTCAGGGGCAATTGTTTGCCATTTGCCGTTTGCTGTTAATGTAGGTAGGCAAAGTACGTTCTTAAGTCGGTCAACCTGAACTCAATTGGAGCCGAAACGATCTCGAAGCTTTTTAATTGCTTCAAATTGAATGTAACGAGTACTATGTGCACGGCGACGCACCGATCTTAGACTACTTGCTTTAATGAGTGCAAATTTATGTGGCGAGTCTACCCAACCCACCCTCTAGGCTTAGCTGGAACCTAAATTGAACTGAACTAAACATTTCTTTGGATTTGCAGGTGGTGCCTTCGAGGGTGTCATCGACGACCATGTCTCACCATTCGGCTACATGAAGGGCGAGGGCATTGATGCCGGCTACGGAGAACATGAATGGATTTGCAACAAGGATAAAACACGCACAGACACCATCTTTAACGGCCTCAGTCCGGTCGATGGCAAGATATCCGGTGCAAGTAAGTAGACGCTCCGGCAATTCTTACGAACAATTGCTAATATATTTCCTTATTTAATTACAGCTGCCAAGCAGGAGCTAATCAAATCGAAACTGCCCAACTCGGTGCTTAGTAAAATCTGGAAATTATCCGATGTCGATGGTGATGGCTTCCTCGACTCGGAGGAATTTGCGCTGGCTTTGCACTTAATCAATGTCAAGCTGGAAGGCTGTGAGATACCCACAGTATTGCCGGAACACTTAGTACCACCGTCAAAGCGTTTTGCCTAAACAAATACACTGTAATATAAAACACACAAATCAATCGAAGACGGCGGCCGACTGGCCAACTCCCACGATGCACTATGTACGATTCTGCCTTTTTATATGTACTATACTCGTACTCGTACTGCGCCAACTGCTGGGTATTAAAACACACGAAACACACACACAATATGTCAATGCAAGCATTGCAATAGAAACAAAAACAAAACAAAAATGTATATCAAAATCATAGATTCACAGAATTTACACGAATGCAATGGCCCACATCACATGCATATTTTTGAACAATCGACTGTCATGTGAAATGTGGAATGTAACAAAAGGATCAGATCGAACCGGATCAGATCAGTATAGTGGATTTATACAAGAAAAGAATGTGTGTATACCATGTCGTTGTTGACATAAGGAAAATATATAATAAAGTTGATGAATTGTTCAATACCAATAAAAAAGGAACGCATGAAGTTAACGTTTAATCAATATTTAGGTTTAATGTCGATTGTGTAGAAGCTTGGAAGGTTTTCTAATTTTGCAACTGAACCACTTTTGATATACAGAAATGAAACATACATAAATATTTTATATAGATATATACAATTCTAGAATGTGGGCCCAATTATTTGCAATCTTATTTATGTTTTTGGAAATGCTCCCCCACTCATCTCCGCTTCGCGGGGAATAAAAAATGTTGTGCAATTTAAATATTTGTTTATTACATTTAATTATTTAGTAAATTAAATTGATTTAATTTAGTAAATTCTTGAATATATATTATTAAATGTTAACTTAAAACTGATTTGAAAAATGGAAAAACAAAAAACCTTAAATAAAATGAACATTTTTTGATACATTTTTGATAAATTCGATATTGTGAAATTGGAGGAGCTCTTCATGATCAAACATTGACTCATGGCAGAGCTAACATAATTATGTATAGTTCTTTGCTTTGGGTTTTCTCGTTTCTTCAAAATTTTTTAGAATTTTGGAATAGTTTTTACCATAGCCTTTGAGATGTCCCTACTGGTTATTTTTGTGCTTATCACGTCTCATTTGTGCTTTTGATATTTTAAATAAAACAAGCAGTAGCTTTGATCATTTCGTGACAATTTTTACCATTACTACTGTAACTGTGATATTTCGAATTCATAAATCTTGATCTAGAGAATATAGATATATCGTCACACAGTCAACGATTGCATTTGATTGTCATCGATAGTTGTAGCTACTTGCTAATTAATCGGCGAACATTTGACAAGATAAGCTTTTGCCTTTTGGATTCAATTTGAAAATTCTTTATTTCTAAAATTATCTGCGATGGCCACCTACGAGGAAGTTAAAGATGTTCCTAATCAACCAGACAAGTATCTGTTTGATGTGCGCAACAAGTCTGAGTTGGAGGAGACCGGCGTGCTGCCGGCGAGCATAAATATTCCTCGTGAGTTGTTTGTTGGTATAAAGATTAGCAGGGGGCTTAATAGGCACACCTTTATTTTATAGTGCCCGAGCTGGAGAATGCCTTAAATTTGCCCGATGATGCATTCACAAAGACCTATGGCCGCCCGAAGCCGGCAATTGATGCGGTCATGATTTTTTCCTGCAAGGCAGGAGGACGCGCTGCAAGGGCTAGCAACATGGCCCGCACCCTGGGCTTTACCAAGTAAGTTTCAGCAAGTGCACATCTCACACAGTCTTACATTAATTTCTAATTAATTTCAGTGCCAAAGCGTATGCCGGTTCCTGGACTGAATGGCAGGAAAAGGAAGGAGCTCAATAAATATGAATACAATTTATTAATTTACAAATTCTATAAACAGGCAAAAAACCTTAAATAATCACAACCTTTGTATGCGTCATTGAATTGTTTGCATTTCCCCCCAACTTGGACCCATTTTAACTTTGACCTTTAGCGGCACGCTCAGCTTCCCCTTGCCAACGTTCTCCATGGTCAGACTGAGCAGTTTGGCAATATTCTTGGCCTTGGCTTTGGGTACCTCATAGATCAGTTCATCGTGAATGTGTAGAACCAATTTGATGGAATTCTCCTCCACACCGAGCCTCATCCAGTAACGACCGATGTTCTTCTCCATGTCTAGCATTGCCTTCTTGGCAATGTCCGCTGCAGAGCCTTGGATGGTCGTATTTATGGCCTGTCGTTCGGCTTTCTCTGGATTGGGATACACATAAAAGTTTTGTTATAGATTCACTCAACTCGGAGCAGTAAAACTTCAAGCATACTTATTAGATTTTGTTCGCCACTTTTGATGTGGTCGAGGTGACGCCTTCGACCCGTTATGGTCTCCACAAAGCCCTTTACTCGGGCGACCCTCAGCACTTTGTCCGAGTATGCTCTGATGCCTGGATAGGCCTGGTGGAATTGCTCACATGTCAGTTGCGCCTGCGACTCTGTACATTGCAGAGCATCGGCCAAGCTACGCATACCCATGCCATAAACAATTCCATAGCAAATCTGTTTGGTGCCGCTGCGCATTTTTTCGGTGACTTCTGCCTCCGATATTTTGTTCCAGTGGGCAGCAATGGCCGTAAATAGATCCTGCGGTGAGTTCATAACCGAAACCAGAGCTTTGTCCTCCGATAAATGTGCCAAGATGCGCATCTCCAGTTGACAGTAGTCCGCCGACAGCAGACAGCGCTTCTCGTCAATGCACTTGAACACTGATCGAGGGGAAATACACACCGATTCCATTCGAATGGCAAATTCCTTGGCCACATTCTGCAGATTTGGCTCACTCATGGATATGCGTCCCGTGGCTGTGTAAGTTATGCTGTGGCCATGGATGCGATTTGCGACGCAGCATTTAATCAGCGGCTGCATGCACTTGTCCAATTGCATGCTCAACTTTCGATGAACGAGTATTAGCTCGGATATGGGCGAGCCCAGCTTCTCCAGAACTTGACGTGAAGTGCTCACACGACCGGTTGGCTTCTTGTGAAGTCCCAGCACGTTGGCAACGGCCTGCGTGGAGCCCAAATTGAAGTACGATCCATGCATGGCAAAGATCTTCTTTTCCACCTTCTTCAAAGAGTCCTGCATGCATTTTACCAGCCTGGTCATGCGTTGCTGCTTGGCCGGAAAGCCGTAGCATTCCATTTTGCAGAGTACAAGTTGAATGGGCATTTCCACGTCTGCAAGAGGACACAACAATTTAAAGCGGAATGTAAGCACATTTTGTGTGTGGCACTCACCTTTAAAGCTGCTTGTCATTCGACCAGTTCTCTCCAGAACCTCCAACTGCCCTTTGAGTATGTGCACGGTGACGCAGGCCTCTATTGATGCACGCAACTTGGGCAGTATGGCGCTGGAGGTATCAAGTCCATGACTGCTGTAGCCGCGCCCGCTGCCACAGAGCTCGACCAGAGCTGTGCACTCGGGCGCAAATTGCTGGCACTGCAAAAGTAAAAATTAATTGGCATATACGATTTTTGTATTGTGCCGTCACTTACCATATTTTTAAAGCAGATTGATATTTCCGGCTGCAGCAGCCAGTTGGCCACCTTGGGATCCTCCACCTTAGCTGTGATGTTGTGCAGTTCAGGCACGCCATGGAACAACGCTTTCATCTGTTCCTTTGCATCGTGCACGAGGAGCGTGAGTTCTGGGCGATTCAATAACTGGCACAGCTCCTGCACTTTGAGGCTGGTGGGGATTTCGGTGCCCTCCTCCTGCATGCACATATAGTAGACAACATTGTCGGCTAGGCAGAATGCCACGCCTGCTATGAATCTGCCATCATCCACCTGGAAGAGCGCCGGGTTGCCTGCAGCTGCTTCACGCTGCTTTGCCGCTGCCAACTGATTGATCAGCAGATTGGCTCCGATCAGTGGCTTTGCCTTGCCCGCCTGCGCTTGAAGGCATACACTGAAGCCACAGCGCGAGGCAGCCTGCAGTTCGTTGAGCGCCAATTGGAACAACTCACGATTGCCGCATATGTCGGTTATCTCAATTCTGTCAAAGCTAAGCGCTTTGTCATCCGCTTCGGAGTAGCTGAGGATGTGCGAGGCATTCAGCTGTTGGGGATGCTTCAGCAAAGAGTTTTCCAGGGTCATGTTGGAAAGTTGAAGCTCAGTTGAGACCATCCCAGCGCCGTTGGACACTTCGGAGAGTTCCGCCTGGGAGGTTGCAATCGTTGGCACATGGGGCGAGATCTTAGCTGAACTTAAAAATGATCCAGAGCCCGGCGTGCTTCTTGCTGTCCCGATGGAACTGGTCGATGATCTTGGACTTTGCAAGCGCTGCGAGCGCATCGAACGAATGAACCTGGAACTATGCGGTGATGAGGCACGTGTGCCTTCCTCCTCCCTTGGTTGCGAGCTGGGTATCTCATCCGCCTCCCAGTTCGAGGTGGGAACAACAGTTTGCTTACACTCGGCGGCTGTGAGAGCAGCAGTCACCCCAGTGCTCATCAGAAACGAATCGTCGCCCATAAAGATATCCTCCTCCACGAAGGATGGTTTGACAGCGGGGCACTGTGCTTTTTGGGTTGCAATTTGAGTGTCATAAACTCTATTCAAATGTGGATCCGTGCTGCTTATTACATCTCGCGGCTTTCCATTTACAAGTGGAGTCGTCTGCGTGGCCTCCAGCTTGTCTCGTCTCTGATTTAACTTCATAAGTGCAATGCGACGGTTCTCCTCAGTTTGTTTTTTCTGTAGCTCTTCGCGAAGAGCTTTACTTGTGCTGGGCGGAGAATAAGTTATATTTTCCTTTTGGCCATTGAAATCTACTGTACACCGACGTGGCATCATCCGCTTATCGGGCCCACAACTGCTCCTTGGGGATCTTTCTTCTAAGTAATCCTTTGCTGTACGTCGTTTATCTGCTGATCGATTGTCTATCTTAAGCTCGGGTATCATAGATGATTTGGGTGTGTCATTTTGCCCTTTTTGGTGAGCCACTCGACACGAGCTTTCCCGCAGTACTCCGGGACTCACTGCCTTTGGGATGTTGCTAGTTTTTGGTTCGTTCTTTGAGGCGACAGGTGCTGGCTTCACTACCTTTTGCTCAAGGATTTCGGTTGATCTGCTTAGTGTCAGTCTCGGAGTATTTACAGATTGAGTGTCTTTGGTTCGTGGGGACTTTACGTTCGTTTTGGGTGTTTGGTTTTGTACTTTGTTGGGATTTAAGTTTTCTTTCAGTACCTCAGTGGGGAGTCCTTTCGGGATGTTGTTAGCTTTTTGCGTACTCAAATGGGAAGCGTTTGTTGCTGCCCTTGGGATGTTGTTAGTTTTTGGTGTGTTCGTTGAGGCGACAGGTACTGGCTGCAATGCCTTTAACTTATTAATATCTAATGATTTCCGTCGTGTCATCCTGGAAGTATTCACATATTGTTTATCTTTGGTTTGTGGGGATTTAACGTTCGTTGGGTTGCTCTTAGTTTTGTGAGTATCGGAATGGGCAGAGGCTGCTGCACTCTGTGGCACGTCCTTGCTGGGATCTACAGTTTTCTTTGGCGTCACATTTACTGATCCCTTCTCTTTGGTCATTGGCTTAGGCTTCTCTGTCGGTTTTTGTGTCGTGTTTTTGATAACGTTGACGACTCTCGGGGGAGTCTCTTTCGTTATCTTCGGTGGTGTTACATTTCCTTCTTCTTCTCCTGTCGATTTTCGTTTTGTTGGCGGCATTTGCTGAGCTTGCCCTTCCTCCAGCGACATGTGCATTTCCACCTCCATGCCGCTATCTGCTGACTTATTCTCCATTCGATTCTGTGACCACTTAATGCTGCCCACTCCAATCTCATGCTGGAGATGTTTTTGCGCCTGATCAATCAGCAGCTTGGCAGCCTCAGCCACAGTCATGCCCGCTTTGCCGGTGATGAAGAAATTTCTGATCATGTTCCGCTTGGCGGCCTCATGCGCATTTTCGTGGTCGTGCTGCTTGGCGGAGTCAAAGCTGAGAGAGTTGTAAAGGACTTTCTCAAGCACGAGAGCATCGGCACTAGCCAATTCCACGACACTGGTGAAGCCAGCATCATAGATGGCACGCGCACGCTTCTGTGAGAGGTCTGGCAGCCGCATCAGATCAATGAGATCTCTGTGTATGCCGAAGAACAGTCTGTCCTTGAACTGCGACACAATCAGGGCGATGTTGGACCACTGCAGCGAAGTGCAAAAAGCCGTCACAATGCCAGCAAATGTTGAGGAAATTTGCTGCAGTCCCTGCAGCACACCGCGATTGCACTTGAACTTGTGGGCCACCACATTGATGGGCGTCTCGTTGACTAGTTCTTGCAGGGCCAGAGCCGTGTAGAAGCTGAGTAGAAAATCTTGTAAGTTCAGTTCTTCTCATATAGAAATATCTACCCACCGCTTGTGTATCTGCATTTGCTTATAGTCGAGTTTGCTTTGGCCTCGCATGGCCTTTATGAGGAACGCCTCCTTGACGCCCACCAGCTCGCCCACTTTCTTCATCGATGGACTGAGCTTCTCCCACATATCGAGGTACAGCAGCCAGTCGAGATCCTGCAGCTGATAGCACACTGAATAGGGAGTCACCAGGTACACCGCATGCAGGTCAGTCTCCAGCACAAAGGAGCGACGTGATTTCTGCAGCTCTGCAAACAGAATGAGACCATCGCCGGGCGGCATGGAAGAAGCCAAACAGGCGGATCCCAGCCGAGTGGCCACATAGTTCGCTGTCCCAACATCCTCATCCACTTGATGGCGAATAAACTCGTAATCAATGAGAAAGTCGAGGGCTTCGGCAATGAATTGCGAGTCGGAGTCCTGCTCCTGCTGCTGCTGTTGCTCTTCGGACTGCTTGGCCATGGCTTTTTCAGCACTCAGAAGAGTGCAGTTGACGAAGCTTTCAATTTCCTGCCTGGTGCTGGCCACACCAGAAGAGATAACCTCCAGAAGCGCGCGTTTTAGATGAGTCTGAAATGGGAAATTTGTGAATTGTCAGGGCTGCTACTGCAAAACTCTGATACCTACGCTATCATCCATTCCGAGACACGAAGAAATGGGCTGCAGCTGCGCCTGCACCAGTTCCCGGCCCACCCTTTGATTGGATTCCGTGCATATCAGTATGGACTCGCCCAGCGTATCCTTGCCCGTGCGTCCAGCTCGTCCAATCATCTGGCGATACGTGAGGGAACTCATTTGGCTCTTGCCAAAGAGCGGGGAGCGTATGATGACGCGTCGCGCGGGTAGATTGACGCCCGAACTGAGTGTGCTTGTGGCCACGAGAACCTTCAGGGCGCCAGCCTTGAAGCAGGCCTCAACAATGTCGCGTTCTTCTGTGGTTAGTCCGGCATGATGGAAGGCGCAGGCATAGGTAACAGCCTTGGCCATGGTGTCATCGAGTCCTGGAAAGGGAAGTGTCAGTTTGGTTCGAAGAAACAAAACCAACAAACCTGTGGGAATCTCACTCAGCTGCTGCTTCACATCTTTAATGGCCTCTGGATTGAGATTCGAGCGAAGGCGTCCGCTCAGTTCAGTGCCCGATTGAAGTAGACCGCGAATGGCGATGGCCAGCTGCACGGCAAGGCTCTCGCACCAGTCCCTCGATGGACAGAACACAATTACGGAGCAGCCCTCGAGCAGCGTTTCGATGCACAGCTGGGCCACATGATCCGGATCGTTGCTCAGGCATGGCACCAGCGACTCCCTGGACACATCGCGCTGAAATTCCAGCTGCTGGTCATAGATTTTGCTGCCCACTTTGATCATCTCCAGCAGCGCCACTGGACGATAGTTTGTGATGTACAGTTCAGCGTCCAGCCAACGGCGAAGGAGTTCCACATTGGCCAGCGTGGCCGACATGGTGATCACTTGGATCTGCAGCGCATTCTTGCGCGACATGTACAGGATCTTGGCCAGCAAGAGCTCCAGAATGTAGCCGCGACCCTTCTCCGAAATGAGATGCACTTCATCCACCACCACGCAGCCAATGACATCCAACTTGCCCTGCTCCAGCAGCTTGTTGACTATGGAGTTGGCCTTTTCAATCGTGCAAATTGCGACGTTTATGCTGTCAAAGCCACCGGGTGGTGTGTAGCCGCCGAAGAATCCCTCCACACGGTAGCCAGCGGGCGTCAGCAGATCCTGCAGGTAGAATGTCTTCTCGCGCACCACCGATATGAAGGGCAGTATGAGGAGCACCTTCTTGTTCCGCTCCAGAACCGTTTTCAGCAGTAGAATCTCACTGACGAGCGTCTTGCCAGCCGATGTTGGCGCCGAGTAGACCAGATTGCAGTGCTCAAAGACGACTCGCGGCTTGCTCAGGCATTCGGCCTGCCAGTCAAACATTTCGACGACGCCCTTCCTCTTGTACTCTGTCAGGATACTATGTGGCAGATTCCAGGCAGCGAGCGACTTGAGTGCTTCTAGGTCGACGGGTACAAGGCTGCTTTCATTGACTGCCTCGCGGATGCTTGCCTCGCGGATGCTTGCGTTTGGCTGAGTAGGCGACACCTGCAGCTGGTTGGGTGACATTTTGCTAAGATTTTGTGTTATCATAGTAGTTTCCCCGGCTACTTCTGTCATGGCCATCGTGCGACTAAACTTTAAATCCTCAGCAAACTGCCTGGAGGACTCCTGGTCCTTGACAGGACACAAAAAGCTGCTTTGATCCAGATTTATCGGCTCCTCAGCGTCAGAGCAAATGTCTTCGATGCAAACCTGGCCGTCAAAAACTGATGTGTCGTCCTTTTCATCTGCCAGATTTGACACATAGGAAAATTCGTCCTGAAAATACTCGGAAAAATGTTCCCGGCTTGAGTTGACTTTTGGCAGCTCGGCTGCAGCTGCTGGCGGCGCAACAACCAAATGTTGTTCCAGCTCACGCAAGGCGCTCTCGTCCAGGTCCAGTGACTGTGAGAACGCCATTAAAACTAGCAATTACTTTAAAAAATAAATAAACATATAAATTGTACAATAAAATTATATTTAAAAAAAAAGACACCAACGCGACGTCAACAGTGTTGTAAAATGTAAAATTATTGCAACTTAGTGATGGGCGATAGACATCGACTGCACTAGAGGCCGAACGATACAAAACCCAAATTGGTTTTTTTGTTGAATTTGTTGAATTAGAACACCTGTTACTGGCACACTGGCAATTATCAAACAAATAATATTTGACGATATTCCAAGCAGAAATCCAATTTAGTAGTCATCGATTGCTTCGTCTTAGTGATGGAAGTTTTGTGCAAGTGCTCGGAGTAAATAATCGTTTTCCCAAAATGTATATCCCTCCCGACCCTGCCAACTTTCTGCAATAGGTAGGTGCAACAGAAATCAGCTGTGCAGAAGAAAATCCAGGTAGTTGTTTACCTCCCAAAGTATACCATATTTTGCATTAAGTGCAAAAATGGACGAGTTCAAGGTGCCCGCACCGTTGCCGAAATACAAACCCACTGTGGTTGAGAATCCGCTGTGGCTGCAGATCGAAACCACCGAGGAGCCGGCCAATGGAAGGAATTTAATACCAGCAATTTGTCCGTACAAGGTGCCCCGCTGGTCTGCACCACCGCCCGCAGACCAAACCTACAAATTTGAGGTGCTCAAGTCGGGGCAGATCATTGACGAGGTGAGGCAGTTGCAGCAACAGGCTATCTGGACATTTGGGCGGCTGCCCGAGAACGATGTGTCCGCCGCGCACCCCACAATTTCACGCTTCCACGCCGTGCTGCAGTACAAGCCGAAGGCGTCCCACGACCACCACTACGAGGACGACGAGCATCATTCCGAAAAGCCAGCCAAGCCCGAGAGACCGGAAGGTTGGTACATCTACGACCTTGACAGCACCCACGGCACATACCTCAACAAACAGCGCGTGCCCTCTAAGGTATATATACGAATGCGTGTGGGTCACATGCTCAAGCTGGGCGGCAGCTCGCGCATCTACATACTGCAAGGACCCAATGCGGATGCCGAACCCGAGTCGGAGTTGTCGATCACTGAGCTGCGGGAGAAGCGCGAGCGGGAGGTGGCTGCCGCTGCGGCCGAGAAACAGCAAAAAATTGTGGAGGCACAGGAACTTGAGCGCAACGATGGCATCAGTTGGGGCATGGGAGAGGATGCCGACGAGGAAACCGATCTCACACACAACCCATTCGCCAGCAGCAACAACGACGACCTCTTCTTCGACGATCCCAAGAAGACTCTGCGTGGATTCTTCGAGCGCGAGGGCCTCAATCTCGAATACAAATGCGATGAGCTGTCCCAAGGATCGTTTGTTTGCCGTGTGGAGCTGCCGCTGGACGATTTCAATGGCAGGCCGATACTCATCGAAGTCAACCACAAGGGACGCAAAAAGGATTGCGTTGTGCAGTGCGCCCTGGAGGCATGTCGCACTCTGGACAAACATGGCGTGCTGCGGCAGGCCAACCAAGAGGGACAAAAGCGCAAAATAGTGAAAGCCGGCGACTCCGACGACGAAGATGAGTTCTGGGATCGCACAGGCGATGTGGCGCGCAAGAAGCAGCGCAAGCAAACAGCAGGCTCCAGTGGCCCACTCACCTATGAAGATTTGGTAGGTCAAAGAAAGATAATTCTGGCGATCTTTTAATCATTTTTGTTTTGTTTTGCAGTTGAAACAGCAAACAGATCTTTTGTCCGAGTTGGGCAAGGTGGAATTTGAGATTGCCACTTACCAGCTGAAGGAAAAGCGCGCCAAGGAGGAGGCCGCCAAGCAGCTGAGTGCCAGCTATGATCTGGACAACTTTATGAACAGTCTCAGCGTGGATATATGGCAAGTGGATAAAACGGAGATCAAAAAGCTTCGGGTTAGTAGGTGGAAATTTCCATTGAGCCTTGCCTGACTATCTTTTGTCTCCTCTCTCTAGCTGGAACTACAACGCATCAAGGGGGAGCAACAGCGAGTGCAGCGTCTCATAGAAATAGCTAAGCCAGCTTGTTTACCCTACACCACGAGCAGTGCAACAGCCACCATCACATCGGCAGCGGCACAGGAGGGCAGCGGTGCCAAGAAGCAGCTGCCAATGATTGGCAAGCGGAATCAGTTTAGCAAATTCAAAGTGGTCACAGCTTTGCCCAGCTCACGAGCCACCGTGCAATCGAAAGCATTTGCCCCGGATGAAGAGGAAGTCGAAGAGGAGGAGCTAAAGGAGAAGCAAGCCAAAATGGAGAAGGAAATGCAAGTGGAAGTGGAAACTAAACAAAAGAAAAGTCCACCGGAAAGTGAGCTAACCGCTGAAGCGGCAGTGGCACTACCACCCGCAGCAGCACCCGCAGCAGCACCCGCAGCAGCACCCGCAGCAGCACCCGCAGCAAGCAAGCCAACCACATCCGAGGAGGAAGTCGGACAAGAGTTTAACTTTCTGTCAACTGCAGCTCTATCCGAAGTTGCCACATTTCCTACCGAACTCTTCCTCGCTTTTCCGCTGACAGATGCAATTGATGACATTGGCACTGCGCTGCCAGGCCCCACTCCGGAGGAGGGTGCAGAAAAGAAGCGACGCCAGCGAGCACCGCGACAGCGCAACAACAAACAGCGTCAGGATGTGGACATGGACATGAATGAGCTGGTCGAGCATGAGGATACCGAAAAGTACGCAAAATGGGTGCCACCGACCAATCAAAGTGGCGACGGCATCACACATTTAAATGAGAAATTTGGCTACTAAAGATTTGAGTAGCGCGCACCCTAGAAACTAAGAGCCCCATTCAGTCTATTGTAAGCATTCTTTTAGACTACTCGTAGGTATATTGTAATGTTTAACAGCTTATTGACATAAATGTTGTGACCCTGTCTGGAAATGCCAATTGGCAACTAAAAAAAACAGAGAGAAATGTTTTTAATTACACGTCCCACGGGCAACCCCTTGGCAGCTTTTCAACACACTTCCACTGCTGGGATAATGCTTGATGTTCCCCTTTTTGCTGCCGCTGATAGGCAGCGCTACCCCTGCTGGCTTTAGTCAAGTGGTGGCTTCCAGGAAAAAAACGTTCACTGAAAATTCCTGCGCACATACAGAAAATGAACCCCAGATTCGGGTGCCATCGGGCGGCCGTCGGGCATGCCATTTCGTTGCCGAGACTCCAGTACTTGAACTTCCAATTCAGTTATAATTTTGTCACTCTAACCGTCAGCACGGAGGAACGGCTGAGCGTGGAAATACAATTTTTGAGTTTTAGAATCCATAGTCGGTCGAACTTTTGTTTATCAAAAACCGCATTTGATTTGGCTTAGGGCACTAGATTAATTAGCTCAATATCGATCCGGTTTCGGCCCACCTTGAAGTGCAATTTGTATGGGAAATCGAAACCGACACCAAGACAGTCCTTCAGCGACGGCATCTTTGGCTCGAATTTAGCTTAGTTTGTGCGCGCATTCGAAACGAAATTGTTTATATAACTTCTCAGTGTGAGAGTGTGTCTGGTTTAATGCGGCCATCACGTGGTTTCTCAACAGACGGAGCACATGTGCGGGTTACACTTTAAGACTCGTAACAGTCCGTCTCAGAAGACGTCCCTACGTTGGGGCGACTGCTGCCTCACATAGAACGTGTGTTCTTGTGTGTCCTAAAACGTATTCCTGGACACGTTTGATTCCTATTCCTATTCCTGTAGACTTTACGCTCTTCCTGTGATCCTGCAATTAGACGGACTCCCAAATCCGCTCGACTCATTCCTCAGTGCAGGAAATGTTGCATAAGTTGAGGCGCATTTGATTGGCGCGCGCGCTTCAGGCGAGGAGGCTTCAGATTCTGGGCGCACAAAGTGGCGTCTGCTTTTGAACTTGGCGTACATATTACACAGGCAGCAGCAAAAGGTGAGTCGGCTACCAGTCGCTGGGACATGCGCAGAGTGTGCCCCAGTAGGGGGGGAGGCTGAGGATTTTCTCTCTCTTTTCGTCTTGGACTTTCCAATTTGCTGCGCTCTGCGCCCAATGCTTTGTAAATTTTTGTGAATGAACCCAACCGAGTGGGTGGTGCGTCTATGACGTACTTGCCTTGACTCTCCCTCTCTCTGTCTCTCTCTTGATTCTATGGCGTATTTTTATGGCAATTATTTAGCCTAATTACGATCCAAACTGTCTGTTATGTGTCCTGCTCCTAGTGCGTGCGTTTTTCGCTCTATAAATAATGCCTCAAACACTGCAACTGCAAGTTAATTGCGCGCCATTAGCAAGGACATAGAAGGGAGAGTGAACAGGGGAGGCCACTATTATAGAAACCTCGGCGATATCCTTGTAAACAAAGGTCAGCGCCAAGCGATGGCCATGGGCAAGCCATTCCTTTGGCTTAATATTTAATGCTGCGTGGGGCCAATCCAGCGAAAATAAACGCCTGCACTCGCGGGGCATGCAACAATATTCCACAATTATGCTCATGAACATTATTTCTCTCTGCCAACCCACCAACCGCGTATCACATTGCCGCCCACAGCTAAAGGTCGCATCCATTTTGTGGTCGGTAAATTAATTTACACAAGCAGCGAGCAAACCGACTCGATTACCATATCCAAGCCAAGGACTCAGGTCGATATCCAAGGATGATTAACGTCGCGGGCTTCGTGAGCATTGCGCTCTTCTATGGCCTTATCCTAGTGGTGGGCATTTGGGCTGGTCGCAAGAAGCAATCCGGCAATGATTCCGAGGAGGAGGTGATGCTCGCAGGACGCTCCATTGGCTTGTTCGTGGGCATCTTCACCATGACGGCCACCTGGGTGGGTGGCGGCTATATCAATGGCACCGCGGAGGCCATCTACACATCGGGTCTGGTGTGGTGCCAGGCGCCCTTTGGCTATGCTCTCAGCTTGGTTTTCGGTGAGTTTTCAAGTGCTGTTTCCCCTTGGAGGTCACTGCTGATGGTTGTATCCTCCTTAGGTGGCATCTTCTTTGCCAATCCCATGCGCAAGCAGGGCTACGTCACCATGCTGGATCCTCTGCAGGACTCGTTTGGGGAGCGCATGGGCGGACTGCTCTTTCTGCCCGCTCTCTGCGGTGAGGTCTTCTGGGCAGCTGGCATTTTGGCTGCTCTGGGCGCCACTCTGTCGGTCATCATTGACATGGATCATCGCACTTCGGTCATTCTGTCCTCCTGCATTGCCATTTTCTACACACTCTTCGGTGGATTGTATTCCGTTGCCTACACGGATGTCATACAGCTCTTCTGCATCTTCATTGGCCTGTGGATGTGCATTCCCTTTGCCTGGACCAACGAGCATGTGGGCAGCCTGAGCGACCTGGAGGTGGACTGGATTGGGCACGTGGAGCCTAAAAAGCATTGGCTATACATAGACTACGGTCTGCTGCTGGTTTTTGGTGGCATTCCCTGGCAGGTTTACTTCCAGCGTGTGCTCTCCAGCAAGACAGCGGGACGGGCACAGCTGCTGTCCTACGTGGCTGCTGCTGGCTGCATTCTGATGGCCATTCCACCGGTTCTCATTGGTGCCATTGCCAAGGCCACACGTAAGTCCAGTTTTGGGTTGAATATAATTTAACTTTGAGTTTTTGATTGAGTTTTGCCTCCCTTGTTTAGCTTGGAATGAGACTGAGTACAAGGGTCCCTATCCCCTGACTGTGGATGAGACGAGCATGATCCTGCCCATGGTGCTGCAGTATTTGACGCCTGATTTTGTCTCCTTCTTTGGCCTGGGCGCCGTCTCTGCCGCTGTCATGTCCTCTGCGGACTCCTCAGTGCTGTCTGCTGCCTCGATGTTTGCACGCAACGTTTACAAATTGATTTTCCGTCAGAAGGCATCCGAGATGGAAATCATTTGGGTGATGCGCGTGGCCATCATTGTCGTTGGCATTCTAGCCACCATAATGGCACTCACAATTCCCTCCATCTATGGCTTGTGGTAGGTTCAATTCTGCATAATTGAGGCTGATTGGCAGCTTCATCTAGTTGAGTCTCATCTCTGTTGTGCTCTTCTCTTGGTAGGTCCATGTGCTCGGATCTGGTGTACGTCATTCTGTTCCCCCAGCTGCTGATGGTGGTGCACTTTAAGAAGCATTGCAACACATACGGCAGCCTGTCCGCCTACATTGTGGCACTGGTTATCCGCCTGTCGGGTGGCGAGGCCATGCTGGGTCTGCCCGCGCTCATCAAGTATCCCGGCTACGATGAGGAGACGCAGGAGCAAATGTTCCCCTTCCGCACAATGGCCATGCTGCTCAGCCTCATCACACTCATCTCTGTCTCCTGGTGGACCAAGTGAGTTCCCGTAATCTAAGCTCCAATTTGTATCCTTACTCTACTCTCTCGCCAGAATGATGTTCGAGTCGGGCAAATTGCCGCCCAGCTACGATTATTTCCGTTGTGTGGTCAACATACCCGAGGATGTGGTGCGCGTGGGCGATCCCGCCGAGTCTGGCGAGCAGCTGTCGGTGATGGCCGGTCCGCTGGCACGTTCTTATGGTGCGGCCACCATGGCGGGCAAAGACGAACGCAATGGACGCATCAATCCTGCCCTGGAGTCCGATGACGATCTACCCGTGGCAGAGGCGCGCCGCCTCAACCAGCAGACGGCCCAAACGCAAGTCAAGAAGATGCTGGACACGGCCACAGGCAGCGGCGGCGGACAGTTGAGTCAGTCCGGCATGGGCATGGCCATGCCTACGCCAGAGCAGGACAATACGGCTTTCTGAGTGCAGTGGGATTAAGGCAACCAGTGAATGGGAGGGCCGGGAGCCTGCAAGTATGCTACACCTTTTCCCCATTGAGTTTTTCCATTTTTAGTTGCGCTTGTTAGGGATCGACAGGAATTGGCTGGTACAGAAAGTATTTAAACACACAAGTGCTCAGGGTATAAAAAGTGCAGAAAGCTGAACGTAAAACTTAAATATCATTTAGCAAAACATTTATAAACATTTATCTCGTATAGGTTTCCACATGCTTAAAGCGTTACCAAAATATTTATTCTATGATTTCTGTTGTTGACTTTTATGTTGCGAGTAGAGAAAGTATAATTTTTATGCGAAAATCGATTAACTCAATACATATCAAATGCATTTTCCTACAAAGAAAATTGCATTCAAATTTAGGAAAAAACTGCAAGGAGGCAAAAACTATTTATCGATGGAAGAGTGGAGGCAAAACTTAGGCGCCTAGCAATACGAAATGGCATATAGCATATCGGTTCTACATAAAGTAACTCGTACTATACAGATGCATATAATGTAAGTCATGTGTCCTTCCAGAACGAACAAAACTACAAACGAGAAACCACAAAACAAGTATAAATGCAAACGAAACATATCAAAAAAGCAAAACCCCAACCAAACCGAAAGGCGGAACTAATAGACATATATTATAGCAAAAAAGGAATACATATCATTGGTGTAACTGTTGTTTTGTAAGCTACATATATGTATAGGTTATGTGCAACAAATATAGTTGTCTAAGTGAGAAGCATATTGAGTTATATAGACAAATGAATTTTAGCTGCTCTCAAAGAGCAAAACCCAAACACACAAAAACAAGTACTCGTACAGAACATACTCGTGCAGGATACATATGTAAAATGTTGCGTCGTAGTACCTAAATACATACCATACATATAAATATATACATACACACATACCCATTGATATATAGAAGAACAGGCACTGAATTTAGAAAGAGAACAATTCTAGTACACACACGCTGCCTAAAGAACCCCCAAAAACATGAACCTGAATCTGAACCTAAAACTAAATCATAACCATAAATAAACATAATGATATTTACATATAATCGAGAGATGTGCGTTGGTTCCTTCTGTTTTTTTGTTTGTCATTTGTTAAAGTTACCGAAGTCCCCCCGTTGACAGAGCAAGAAGTAAACTAAAAGAAACTCAACTAAATATGCATTAACTAACTTGATAAAGTGTTAAATCCCTCGTATATAACTAACTCACTTAAGTGTAGTAAATGTTGACTGCTTTTTTGATTGAGCCTCCGTATGTTTGTTGTATTGGGGTCAAATGTTTTTAAACCTTTACATACGCGAGTACTAAGTGGAACTGAGCTGAAGAAAAAGTGTTTGAGGCACACACATACACATACATATAGTATATACGATATATCATACCGAAAATCTGTTCGTTGTTATTGTTATTAAATCTATTACTTCAGATCTGAGTGTGTACATTTCGATAGAGTCCAAATTTAAATCCGTTCAAAACTCGTATAAAGATTAAACCCTTTAATTTTCCTTGAAGAGTTCTTTCGTGCAGTTTAATCCACGTTGTACATACATAATCAAGTTACTTGAATTGAATTTGTAATGTTACTATCTTACTATCAACCAAAAACTAAACTAAAACCACCAAACAAATAATTTATGCATTAAACGAGACGATCCTGCTGCGAGTTGGCATCCAAAATAAACTACAACTAAAAACTAAAAACTAAAACAAACCCGAATAACGATACATTTTGTTGTGCAATTAGTTGAAAGGATTTACACGTACGTTACGTTACTATTACTGTTACTATACCGGGCTATCTAACCGATTTCCCACATAACTTTTAGTGGCATTATGTTAACCAAAGAACGAGTGGTAAGATGTAGAAACCCTAAACCAAACGGAATACATATCAATGTTTTAAGCAAAGCAAACGTAAATAACAAAAAATCGAAACGAAACAAAAGTATTTAATAAATAAAAATTATATATATAGACAATACAATATATACACATACATAGATTAAAATGGTTTCTCTGTTTGATGCAAGTGCAACATCTTTTTTTTGTCTAGTTATTTATTCTATTTCTCAGTACATTTATTTAACCGACTATCTCTTGGCCTGGCTTGTGTAATAAACACACACATTAAGGCACAACAAAAGCCGCCAACCAGACAATGGGAATGGGCTTACATTATCGCCCAGTGGAAATTTCTCAGACCAAAGAGCACTTAAAGAGCAAAACAATGCAAGAAGATCTGTGGGCATGTGGCAATGCTGCGACAGTTACTTATTTTATTTAGAAGAAAATCGGTTGTTTTAAGTGGCAGAAGTGCTCGCTGTCAATGCAGCAAACTGAGCGGCACTACAACTGACAATTAGCATGCTAATTATGCTGCTGTACTGCCTCTGATCTGCCTGTAATTAAGTTGTAATCCCATTTGCAGATATGCATCTGATACTGAGCACTCTCCATCATAAGCCCATAACTTGTGTCGCTCAAGAATTGCCCACTAATAGTGGCTCCATGGCATCGTGGTTTGTTTGCTGCCATATCATGTGGATGTGGCTGGTTGTTGTGGCAGCTGCTCGTACGAGTATATCCGGTATTTTTCGAACATTTTCCATTTGCATTGTTTAGCCGCTGTGAACCTTCAACTGTCATTTGGCTGGGGGTCTTCGCTGCCAAAGAATTTCGCGAATGTCTCGCGTATGATGCGAATGTGAAGGGAAGGTAAGCAATGGCCCAGAACTGATTGCACCCAAGCCGAAGCACAACATCTTGAACTGTTCTTCAACGTGTTTATTTAACAAACATTTTGTTATATCTAATGATACAATGAATTACGGCTAGAGCTCAAAATTAAAATGGATTTTGCGTCAGTTGGGGAATAATTTACAGCTAAAGATAACGAGTAAAAATGGCGACGCATTGCGGAGATGAAAGCGGTGATGATGACATGATGGGGCGGAATATTTGAGTATTCGAAGGCACTTGGCAGCTGCGTGGGCAGTTCTGACTGGCTCACTTCTTGCGGTAGGTGTAGCCACCGTCGGAGCTGTAGCCCTGCTGGATGGTCTCGGGCACACCTTGACTGGGTCCGGAGTAGTTGTAGCCAGAATTCTCAGCGGGTGCCCCGTACGAGGAGGAAGGTGCACTGGGATACGAGCCAGAGCTGGACGAACCGCTGGCGGGTGCAGCGCTGTAGCTGGATGAGGGACCATCGGCAGCAGGTGCTCCATATGAGCTGGATGGAGCGCCATAGGAGGAGGAGGGTGCGGAGGGATAACCACCGCTAGACGAAGACGAGCCGGACGAGGACGAGCCAAAGGCAGGAGCTGCTGAAAAGGTTGAACCAGATGCAGAGCTGAAGCTGCTAGAGCTAGAGCCAGTGCCCGAGCTGAAGCTGCCAGCGCTAGATCCCGAGCTGAAGCTGCCAGAGCTGGGAGCACCATAAGAGCTGGATGGTGCTGAGGGGTAAGGTCCGCCGCTGTTTGAGCTGCTGCTGGGTGCACCATAAGAGCTGGAAGGAGCCGATGGGTAAGGACCGCCGCTATTGGCACTGGGACTTGGCGCGGAGTACGAGGACGAAGGAGCACTTGGTGCCCCGTACGAGGAGGAAGGAGCAGATGGGTAGGATCCGCCGCTGTTGGCACTGGGGCTAGGTGCGGAGTACGAGGATGAAGGAGCAACTGGGTAAGGTCCACCGCTGTTTGAGCTGCTGCTGGGTGCACCATAAGAGCTGGAAGGAGCCGATGGGTAAGGACCGCCGCTATTGGCACTGGGACTTGGCGCGGAGTACGAGGACGAAGGAGCACTTGGTGCCCCGTACGAGGACGAGGGTGCAGCTGGGTAAGGTCCTCCGCTGTTCGAGCTGGCGCTGGGTGCAGAGTACGAAGAGGATGGGGCAGCCGGATAGGGTCCTCCACTATTCGAGCTAGCGCTGGGAGCGCCGTAAGAGCTGGACGGAGCCGCTGGGTAGGGTCCACCACTGTTGGAGCTTGGGCTGGGTGCAGAGTAAGAGCTGGATGGAGCAGCTGGGTAGGAGCCTCCGCTGTTGGCGCTGGCACTTGGTGCAGAGTACGAGGAGGAGGGAGCCGAAGCATACGATCCTCCGCTGTTGGCACTGGGACTTGGCGCGGAGTAGGAGCTGGAAGGCGCCGATTGGTATGAACCACCACCGCTGGAGCCCTTGCTCGGAGCGCCATAAGACGAAGAAGGAGCGGAGGCGAAGCTGCCAGAGCTGGATCCGACGCTGGGCGCTCCATAGCTGGACGAGGGCGCAGAGATTGGCTGGAACGAGGAGGAGACCGATGGTGCACCATACGACGATGAAGGAGGTGCTGCTGGCGCCTCATAAGATGCAGCTGGTCCCGAGGTGTAGCCGCTGCTGCCCAGCGTCTGGGTCTTCGAGGGAGCTCCATAGTTGGTCGAGGGCGCCGATGGCAGTGGCACGAAGCTGCTCACGCTGGGCGCATTGTAGGCGGAGGAGGGCTTCGAGGGCCGCGAGACGGGTGGCAGATAGGAGTTGGTGGGTGCTTGGGCAGGTGCGCCATAGCTGGAGGATGGTTGTGCCGGTGCTCCATAGCTGGAGGATGGTGGTGCGGGTGCGGGTGCTCCATAGTTGGAGGATGGTGGTGCTGGTGCGGACTTGGGTGGACCGTAGGAAGAGGAAGGCTGCGCGGCAGGTGCTCCATAAGACTGCGATGGTGGTGCGGGTGCGCCATATGACTTGGAGGGTGATGCGGGCGCTCCATAAGAGGAGGAGGGTGGTGCGGCAGGTGCTCCATAGGATGAGGAAGGCGGGGCAGGCGCTCCGTAAGACTTGGAAGGTGGTGCAGCAGGTGCTCCATAGGAAGAAGATGGAGGTGCGGCAGGTGCTCCATATGAGGAGGAAGGTGGTGCAGGAGCTCCGTACGACTTGGAGGGTGGTGCTGGTGCTCCATAAGACGACGAAGGTGCTGATGGCGCTCCATACGAGGAAGAGGGAGCAGCTGGGGCTCCATACGAAGAGGAGGGAGGTGCTGGTCTCGGTGCTCCGTAGCTGGGCGAAGGCGCGGACTTGGGAGGTCCGTACTTTGATGAGGGCTGCGCGGGTGCTCCATAGGACTGTGAGGGCTGCTGGGGTGCGCCATAAGACTTCGAAGGTGCTGCAGGTGCTCCATACGAGGAGGAAGGCTGCTGGGGTGCGCCATAAGACTTGGAAGGCGGTGCAGGAGCTCCGTAGGAAGATGAAGGTGCTGCAGGCCGCGGTGCGCCGTAGCTGGAAGACGGACGACGATGGTGATGCTTCTTGGCCTGTGGTGGCGGTCCGTACGACTGGCTGGGGCGACTGGGTGGTGCGCCGTAGCTGGAGGAGGGACGCTGAGGTGGAGCTCCATAGGAGCTGGAGGGGCGAGGAGCGGCAGCGGGATATGGACCGCCCGACGAACTGCTCTGAGGGGGAGCGCCATAGCTGCTGGAGGGAGCAGCTTTGAAGGAGGGCGCTGGCCCAGAGGCTGGTGGCAGATAGGAGCTGGGCGGTGGTGCACCGTACTTGGAGGATGGCCTGTGGTGCGAGGACGATGACGAGGATGGTGGCAAGTAGCCGTTGTTCAGTGGCGCCTCACGTTTCGCAGCTGCCGCATCGTGGACCAGGCCGCCGACGACAACGACGACGACGACGGTGATGACACCATAAAGCTGCAACACAAAAAAAAACGAGGAAATTAGTTTCTTGTGTGTGTCGGGCTACGGTCGATGCTCTGCTCTGCTTACCAATCGCATGACGGATCGGATGCTGCTTTAGCTGCAAATGAATCAAGCTGCAGCGAGACGAAGAGATGGAGATGGGAGAGTCGTTGAGGAAAGTGAATCTGTGCAAGAAATAAATTGTATAGATAAATTACGTTAATGTTGCATAAGTTTTTTTTCTGTTTTTTTTTTTGCTGACCGGGGCACACACACACATACACACACAGACTTCAACTTCAATCGGCCATCAATCTTGGTGTTTGGCCTGGCAGGCAATGCCAAGAACTGGCCAACTGCCGGAGCGTGTCGCCTGGCATTGAAATATTTTTGCATTTAATTGAGGTTTTTGGCCAAATGCCCAAGAAGCCGCAGATTATGAGCCGCAGTCTCACTCTCATTACTTAAGGCCAAATTCCCACTCAAAAAATAAAGTGAAACTTTTCTTTCTTTCTTTTCATTTTCAATTTCCCTTTCCCTATAATTGTTTGTGCTGGTTGAAAGCCTTCGAAATTGAACAAAAGCCAGCAGCTAAGGGCACAAAATCTGCACAAAATCGCTGCGGGGGCGTGATCACAAGCAGGAGGAGTGCATGGAGGGGGGGGGGGTGTGGGGACCAAGTGTCGTAGATTTTTATGACATTGCAAAATCGCAAACAGTGAGAAATTTGCCAACTGTCTTGGATGACTTCGGCTTGTGGCACGGCTCCTACTTGGCTTGTGGCAAGTCAGTTGACACATATTTTCCTTTCCTTTTCTTTTCTTTACTTTTGCAGCTACTGGGTGCCAATTATTGTCTCTCCTTCACTGGCACACTCGCACACACTCGGATTCGGTTCGGTTTGGTTTGGTTTGGTTTTTTGTTTTTTCGATTTTTTGTTTGGCTTTCTGCACTTTTCGTTGTTTGTGGCCACGGACGACTTGTGTTACTCCTCCGCCTTCGCCTTCGCCTGTCGTTGTGTGCCACAAGAATTTTAATTGTTTTTGTTCAAAGCTCGCCTAAGTGATGACTACTTTGACCCGTTCGGTGTGGTGTCGTGTGGCAATAGACGCAACAAAAATTAGACATGCCATTGCCAGTGCTTCTTATGCAAGAATAAAATAATCTCTGGGTGTGGGGCCGGCACACCGCTTATCCTTTGGGAAGGGACCCACACTAACCGTTCTTTGTGAGCACCAGCTGCTTATGTGTTGGTGGGTGGGGGTGCTTTCAACTGAACTGAACTGGAGATGTAATGCTCCACCGATGGACAAATGCGAACTATACTGCTGTCTGATGCGCAGCATGCACTTTTATACAAAATCATAACCGCGCTAAGCCAAAAACATGCACGAACAACCAAAAAGCCAAAAAGCTTCCAGCACACAATGCGAAGAAGACGCTGGCAGAGGCAGCAGCAGCAGCAGCAGCGGCAGAGCTAGAGCTAGAGCTACTTTCCCCCCTCCCCCTCGTTTTGGTACTTTATGTAACTCTTCCAAATGCACTCACTCTCCAAAAGCGAACGGCAACAACAACAGCGCAAAGAAGAAACAGAAACAGAAACAAGTCAACAACAAGTGCCCGCCTAGAGCAGTGGCGCAGGCGCAGCGTCGCGGCGTCGCCGCCAGCGTTGCGCATCTGCCCTGCCAGAGCGAATCATAAAAGCAAAAGCAAAAGCCAAAAGCCGCCAGCGGGGAAGCTTTTTGCGGTTTGCCTTTTCTTCTTCTTGTTTTTGTTGTGCCGTGCGCCTTTGTTTTTGCATTGATAGAAAGAAATTGGATCGCGGCCTGCCGCTGCGTTTGTCAAGTTCAGTGGCAACATATGTCAGCGGGACATATGTACATATGTGCATAAGTAAATATTTACATACATTCTTGCATTTGTTTTACGTATGTAAGTATGTTGTTCATGACTATTCGGGATAGATTCAGTTAGGTTTCATTACAGACTAACCCACGGTATCCTTTTTGCAGCCCAATTTACATTTTCTTTGCTTTCTTGAATTGCCTTTTATTAGATAGATTAGGGTGAAGATAAGTTAGACCAGAAACAATATAATATTAACATGAGTAACTCTCATACTTAGACATGGCAGCCTAAAAGCTCACAGATAAGAATGTATACATCTAAATATAGAATGCCCTTGCAGGTGTGAGTACGCACAAACCAAACAGACGAATTTCCAGACGAAAATATTTTCATAAAACGTCTTCTTCTTTAAAAATTATTTTCCGATTGACTGGTTGGAAGCAAGCCAAATAAATCTTTTAACAATACAAACGTTACACAATCAAAGTAACTTGATATTTATAAAAAAAAGAAAACAATTGCATTATATAAGACTCTATTGATTTTAATGTATTTTCTTAGGCAACTGTTGGCGGCATCTCTGGCTTCTTCCAGATGTAGCTGGCCCAGGGAATGCACTCCTTGAGCAGATGCATGTATGCCAGGCCGGAGGGGCAGTCCACCTCGGTGGCGGGCTCGCCCAGAGTCTCGCACAGCCAGTACTTGGCGGCATCGAAGTGGTGTGTGTAGGTCTGTCCCAGCTCGGACTCATCCTTGCAGGCAGAGCGTCCGGCATCGGCATTCACGCCCCCCATCAGCATGGCGGCCAAGAAGATGGCGCAAAGAGCTACAAAGACTGCAATACATAGAAAAATCGATGTGATCAATATAAAGAAAAAGAAACTCTGACGACTCCCACACCCACCAGAATTCATTTTCGTGAGCAGCAAAAACAATGAAAGTTTCTCCGTAGAAAGAAGCAACTGTGAGCCACCCACACTCCAAATGCCACTTTTATAGGTTGGGGGCCAACAAAAAAGAATTTTTCCAAAAGAATAACAAAAGTATTGACATTTTGACACACGCGCACATCCGTTGATTATTATCTGGGGGAATCGAACACTGCGTAGCAGAGATGCACAGAGGGGAGTAGATGGGTATCAGAGGAAATCAGGAACAGAAGAGAATAAAACTTTCTAAGAGTTCTTTGGGAGTTCATCCATGGAACACCCTCGACCGGCAGTAGAAAATTATTAAACTGAAAGTCAAGATGAAAAACAAATCCATAGTTTTGAGGACTCTGGAATGTCTCTTTATTCATTCGAAGTGTAAGTTACTCGAACTGTTGCAAACGCCATCAGAAATACGATATACCCTTCCACACAGGGGAAGGTCGAAAACCAGCAAACAGCATCGATGTCCAGATAAGAAATACAGACTGCCAAATGATTGTCCCAGGTGTGAGTGTGTGTGCAAAGGGGAAAGAGGATGGCAAAAAAGATATTTAATAAATTACAAACTATTTTGGGTGCATCCAAATCTAGCTGCAGTCGAATATTGTTCTCTAATTGCTGGCAGCATGCTCAAATTATGAGATCATGTTTTGACAAGGCACGCGCCGTTCTTTAACATCTTCAGCATCTCGAACATCATCATCATCATTATTTTCATTAATCATTATCTTACATACATATATTTTGTTGACTCAACCGAATGCCTATTGATTGACAGTTTTTCGAGCGCAACTCTCGGTAATGCTCAGCCATGCCGAAACCATAATCGGATCGCATTCGCATCGGATGTTTCCATAATTCATAAACAAATATTTCCGAAATGGGAATCCGTTTATATTTTGTGCAACATTTAGGTCTATCGTCGGCCCATTCATTAATTAATTGCTGACCATCTGCTTGCCTTCTCTTACCTTTTCTTTTTGTTTTGTCATTTTGCAAAAGTATTTTACATTTATGTTAACTGTTTGTTTCTTTGTGGCTCTATGGCTCTTTGTCTAGTTTCGGTATTCGGCAGATTGACGATGCCCCAAGCACTTTTGGGCGCCAGCGCAGAGCGTGCCACTTGACCAACATAAATACAAGTTGCAAAAAGGAAAAAAACCAGCAAGACAGCAACAAATATCACGAAATGCGACAGAAGCAAAACGAAACAAAAAACCGTTTAGTAGCAAAGGTTTGACGAAAACAGAAAAAAAACCCTGAAAATCGCTTACAAAATGTTTTAAAGTGTAATTACAGTTTCCGCGTTGCAGTAGCAAGCAACGCGATGGCTTTGCAGATGCCACAGATAGTGGTTTTGGGTCTGGTTTGTCAGAGGTGTTGCCAATCAGCAGGGAGCCTCTCCCTCAGTAGCTAACGATGAACCCAGAAGCAGACACAACAGCCAAGATGACTCTGCTTGTCCAAAGCTGCTGCTGGTTATTATTTTATTTTTGATCAAGATGACCAGCAGTGCAGCGGCTAATTATCGATTAAGTGGAGTCTCGACACGGTCAAGCAAATCCAATTAATGTGGCCAAGAGAAATGCGGCTAGTTATGATTGCACAAATGGGTGACGGATTGTGCGGATGCTGGCTCTGTGTCATCAAATCGCTGGCTAAAAATAACTTGGAACTCATTTGGACTAAGTGATTTTGCGTGTGCCGCCAATGACGGGAAACAAATGTCACGGGAAGAGCGATAAGAAAGAGTTCCCAAAAAAACAAAAAGAAAGAGAATAATATTTTGCAATAAATTGAACCCCATAAATATGCCATTCCACAGTCTTCGATTGCAATATTATCATCATGTACAAGGGTGAGGATCGCCGGCTACAGGAAGAGCTGAGAATGCAGAAAATATTTCATTGCCAATTCCTTTGCAGGCGCGCTTCTATGCTGCCTGCTTGTGGGCCTCTTCGTGGCTCTCAGCATGGCCTACCGAGGTCAGGATATATACGCGGAGCCAGACTGCAGCATCGTTGAGGATCATGCACGCAAATTCCGTGACATTTCCGATCCCACCCACTACTGGGTGTGCCCCGAGGGACAGGAGAAGGCCGACTACATCCAGTGCCCCGACAACTATGCCTTCATGGAGCCCCAGCAGGGCTGCGTCGTGTGGGAGGAGTGGAAGTGGCTTGAGCCATACACTAAATAAACAGATACAACGACCCAACTTTGGTCCTTAGTCCGGCCAGAGGCTGGAGCGTCCGTTTCGGTTTTATTTCCGCCAAGTTTTGATTGGATTTTATGGAGTTTTTTGGGTGGGAATTGAACCATCAGAGCGTCTGACATAAATAAATTAATTAAATGTGCCAAGTTTCGGCAGTGAACCTGGACCACACGGCACATAGCTCAATGAAGCAGAACTTTTAATTAAGCGAGGCTGAGACAGCGTTTCCCAGGCAGTCACAGGTCGACTTCCCAGGCCCACAGCACACCCAGAGCAGACCCTGACTCGTCGTCATTTGATATATGTGTATGTCTGATAAACGATAATTAGGCAGTGCGTGTCTCTTGTGTCTGTTGCGCTTGTAATGTTATCTAACACCTTCGATTGGCAATCAAAAGCTGTTGCCGCTGTTGCTGCCACAGTTTGCCGCTGCCGGTGCCGCTGCCGCTGCTACTACAATCAATCAACTTGTATTGTGACTCGACGACGCTCATTCAAAAACCTCCAACAAAAATGATGATCATACGAGCCACAGGCACAGACAGACAAGAGTCGGGGCGGCAGACTCGCACTCCAGTGCTCCAATTTGAAGCTTAACAAACTATAAATTGGACGGGGGACAGGCTTGGAAATGTGTATTTATTTTTCTTCTCTTTTTTCTTGTACAAGTAAAAGTCATAAATATCAAAGCGACGGCCCCGAAAAAGTAGGAGAAGCGAAGAGCGAGCAGCATTCACATTAAAAGTGAAAAGTGCTTCAATAAATTTAGTTAGAAATCATTGCCGTAATGCAAACACGCACCGCACCACACCGGCGAGGCTGAAGAGGTCGTGAACGAGCTCGTTGTAGGTGCCCTGCGGGGCAGTTGAAGTGCCCATCGATGGCATCACATAATAATGAATTTTAGATGGTTGCGGGTACCCCAGCCCCAGCTGCCTTGCAGCTTTGAAGAAAGTTAACACGGCCTTGACAAGGCAAGGAAGTTCCATTATCTGCATAAAGATAAAGACCCCCAACCCCGACTCGCTCCGACTCTAGCTCAGAGCTAATGGCAATGACAATGGTAATGGTGGTAATGGCAACACGGCGCTATCGGGGCATAAAAACAAAGCACTTGCAGCGGTCCCATTGCCGCTTCATTTGCCAATACCCGTAGACCACAATTAGAGTTTTGCTTCGCTTCGGTATGGTGTGGGTTTATCAGAGGCTCATCTAGTATAGAGGTACTCGTACATTCGTACTCGTATTTCTGGGTTAAGTTGAGCTGCATCAGCAATTGGCGGGCACTTGGCCAGCAATTACAGCGACTATGACAATGACAACGAACGAGAGCCATAATTATTATCATTATGTATTTATGATCATTTCCATACATTTTAGCAAGTTGTGTAAATTTATCAGCCTCTGACATTGAACACACATTTATATGTGTGTAATAAAGATTAAAGACTCATGTAAATGGCCACACATGGCAGCACTTATTCATAAAGAACTTTTGGTTTGTGTATTAATCATCAGCAAAGTGGGAGATAATTTAGATTATTAATATGAAAACGAAAAGATTATTAAATGATTCATGAACGGAAATAGGAAAATATAATCATTTTCAGCAAGCATTTGTATTGCATTTATTTTTCCAAGTGCACTTTCTGGACTACTTTCCTATGTGCAAATTCTTTGTTAAATTTTCCACACCCTCCTCCACTTTTTGCTTTGCCATTCTTCGCCTAATTACATGTCTCAATCTCAATCCATCTGTAAGGCCGCAAGTCCGCCCCGCCTAGCTTTGATTGATGGCTTCACTGATTTGACTGATAAGAAAACATATGTACATACATACATACGTGTCCTCTATATGCACACACGAGTATATGGCAGCTGCATACATGTACATATGTGGGTGCTGTCAGGGCAGGTGAATGACAAATTGACATGTCGCAAAAATGATGAATTTACCTTGGGAACGTACAGAAACGGAGACGGAAATGTGGACAGACAGAACAGGCAGGACAGACGGACGGACAGACAGACGGACGTACGGGGAACGGTGCAAGAAACAAAACCCAAAATTACCTTTCATCAAGCTGACAAATAAATTCAAAGCGACACGACTTAAAATGGGGAGAAAAAAGAAACCAAGAACACTCCAGCAGCGATCTAACAAATTATATTTTTGCTGTGCCGGAGAATCAGCTTTGGCATAGGTCAAAGTTCGCCTGCTGAAGCGGGTCCAATTCACAGATTTTTGAGTTCAAGTCCATTGCTGACGTCAGAGCGGCAGAGCGGCAGAGCGTTGGAGCATTGAACGTGTGTACCCACATCAAGAATAATAATAATGGGCCGCTGAAGCTGGAGCTCACCTGTCAGTTCTCACCTGAGGTTAGACCCTGCCCTGCCAGTTTGGAGCTTTGAATGTGGGTGGAAATTAGAGAGCTTCATTTTTGGCTGGCGGCCCATTAATATTTCAGAATCTTACCCGCTTTAAGTATGCGCAATTTATATGCATTAAAGTTTGATTCCCACTCAAATTGCGGGAGGCAATCAAATGTCGCAGCTTATTTCGTATTTTTCTGGGAGGATTATTGCGGATGTGTCCTTCGTGTGAGTAAGGTCTGTGGCCCTGTCTGGCGGCTGCTAATTGAATAAATTTATATCAAGACAAAGACTTGGCACAACCTGTTAAATAATCAAACATTTGAGCATCCGACATGATACACTTTCCTTTCTGTGAAAAATAATTAGAACATTGTTTGCCATTCCATTTACTATTTCCCCCAGTCCACTATCAGGTAATCTGTTACCGTATCCCTGCCATAAACGTCTCTCCCCCACACCGACAAATCCCGAACAAATTGCAGCAACTTTTTTATTGACTCAAAGAAATTGCAGGCAGTCTGCTGTGTCCCCTGTTAGGGCAAGCTTTCACCACGGCCTACCCCTGTGTTCCAGGCAAGTTGAACAGCTGATGAACAGCTGGAAGGCACAGATGTCTCTGAGAGAGAGCCACTGGAAGTGAATCCACGGCTGGAAGGCACTTCGATTCGGGTTCATTCTGCAAAGGAAAGGCAAAGGAATTTGACGAGCGCCAGAGAGCTCCGCCTACCACAGAGCCGGAGTCGTCTCCTAGCCGCTGTATGTGTGTGTGTGTTTGTGTGTGATTGTGTGTGTAACAAGGCCACACCCACGCGGCCATGTTTGAATGAAAGAAGGAAAAAAGCAAAAGCAAACGGCAAATGGCAAAGTCAATAAAAGGAATGAAAGACGGAGAAACGACAGAAGGAGCGGAAGGAAACCAAATGGCAAATGGAACATCATGTTCCAGCAACGATTGAGAAATGGAACAGTCTCCCCCCCGCACTCGCACCACACACACAGTAATACGAATTTAGGTTACCGCAAAAGGGACAGAGAGACAGAGAGAGAGGGGAGAGTGCCAGCAGAAATTAACTGCAAATGCGCGCCTTTGCTGTTGTTGTTGTTGCAGGGCGTTTTGTAGCTAACTTAGTTAAGGTCATCGAAATGTCAAAAGTTGCATTCTCCCGATGTGACGGCGACAAAAACGGCAGCGATAGTAGTGTTGGAGCGGGGGTGCACAATGGCACGCACATGGCACAAGAGTGTTGACACACACACACACACAAACAAAGTACAGCTACATGCGAGAGTGTGTGTGTTTTGTGTTTGTGCGTGTCTTCGACATTTTTGCAATTAATTTGTTTAGACTTGCCCTGCAAATCCCTCTCGTGGGAGCAGGATTATTGATCGATCGCTGGGCAGCACTTTCTAATTTTTTCGGCAATTAGCTGCTTGCACTCCTCTTTCTCTCCTCTTTGAGAGCGGCTTTGATGTCGGCCATTGTTAGTTTCGGCAACACTTTCGGCAGCCATTTTGCTCCTTCGGAATTCCACCACTCACACACACACACGTACACGTACACATACAAATACCCCCACACAAAGTCACGCACACTTGGAAGTAAATTCCTCAATATATTTTCGCTGTTTCTGACTCTTTCTCTCCACTCTTTCTCGCTCTGAACTCCAACCTCTTCCCTTGCGATTCGTGCGCAAATATTGATCTTAATTTTAATGCTATTAATATTATGCTGTGGGCGCAGATCCCATTAGATTTGATTGCCATTCGCATAAAATGTGCATTCAGTGAAATTGTTTCCCATAATTTGTTTTACATGACCAGCATGGGCTACGCTTTCTCGAGATTCAGCTTAATTGACTGGTAACTGAATACTGAAAAATCGCCCAACCCATCCGCTGATTGCATTGGGGTTTGCTCCCTGACTCCCACTCGTTTGTAACCTTTGCCCTTTGCCCTTTTGCCTAACGAGGCTGCAGCTCGTGTTACCCATCATCCTGCTGTCTTGTGCCATCAAGAGTCAAGTCGTTGGAGAGTTCCCGCACAAAGTACCCAATCAATTGCAACTTTTGGTACACATAATTAGGATCTCCCGAGGGCTTATGCAATTATTGCAAATGAAACGAGTGGAAAATATGCATGTGAAATGGAAAAGATTTCAGCTCTCGAGTTTGCCTTTATGAATGAATAATAAATGAGGGCTGCAATTGGTTGCAGATCGATACGCATGTGGGAGAAGGTTAAACAGAGATTAATGCGAATATTAAGGGGTGCCTTATGGGATATTTGTGTGTCAGAGTGAGGTTTATTCTGAATGGAATGGGCAATCAATTATTTAAGATGTTTTTCTATTAGTTCGGACCTCCGTTTTCTGTTGCATTAAATATTTAGAGACTTTTCCAACTGCCCAACACAGCGGCAGTTCGTAAGCTAACTTCTCGACTTGTCGTATAATTTATAACAGAAAAAGCTTTAGGTATTTTCGTGTTTCACCTACGTCTGCCATCAATATTTGATTTAATGCCAGGCATGAATATTCCATGTTGCCATTGAAGCATCTACCATCAACCATCTATCATCATCACATCAATCACTCCATTACTCCGTTTCAATATTAAGATGGACCAACAATATCCCCCAATATCCTCAAAAATAGCTTTAATTTCGACTCTTATCTCACCTGCCAGA